AAAAAAAAAAAAACAGTGTTCAAGTCCTGATTGCGACTCTTTTTCTCTTTTTACCCTCCGCTATCCGCTCACGAACTTTATCTTCGTCCATTCCTTCCTCTTCATAGAAATGAGCGACACGTTGGGCATCATTTTGTCGCTTGATATACTTCAGAGCGGCCAGGTTATAGCCAAGTGTGTCTTTTTGACGACGGAGGGAATCACGTAGATGTTTGCGTAGCGGGATAAGTGCTGTGCGCATGACGCGGTTAGCCACAATTTGGTGATAGTGGGTCTTCAGCAGGAAAAAAATTATGCGCGATGTGAGGACAACATTCCAGCCCTGCATAGCCGTAAATTCAGTGCGAGAACGTAATGTAGCCAATCGTAGCCACTTACCCTTTGAGCCCATACATTCAAGTATTGCATCAAGCTGACAACTTGGCCGAATGGGAGTACTAACAGTGCATCGTACAGCGCAGTGCCTGCTATTTTTTCAATCACTTGGAGCACGTACTCTTCCGGCTCTACGTCGTAGGCAGCAAGCACTGGGTTGCGAGGTGGTGGCGCCATCTGTTCGGACAAACCACCCTTCGCCTTTGCTTCCTCATATTCTCGGAACGACGCGATTTCTCCGTCTGCGAGATCAAGTGCCTCCATAATCCTTTCGCCAGCCATAAGGGTCTCCGTCGTCTGTTTGGAAACGGACGTGACTTCCGCGCCCTGGTTGTCCTGTCGATCAGCGTCATCTGCACCGCTACCAATGGGGGCATCCGTGCGGTTTAGTGTCTCGGCAATTCCGGATTCATAGAGATTTTCAAGTTCGCGCTCACGCTCCTCCTCAAGGAAGAGCTGATATAGAGGCGCTTCAGCCAAGTTGTCACGAGGGGGGAGAAGAAACTACATACGGGTTCGTCGAGCTTTTCCCAGACGCGGATTGATTTATCGTGCGAGCCAGTGACGACAAATTTGCCTTGATTGCTGACGGCCAATGCCCACACCTCGCCGTGATGACCCTCTAGCTTCTGGATATTCTCGAACTAAACAAGGAGGTAGACACATCACTTTTTGCAATTGATACACGTGGTAATCAATTACCTTATCGCCATCCCAGTACTTTAAAAGTCGGTCCTTCCCGACCGTCCAAAAGTAATGCGAGGGCTTTGAATCGAGCTCGCGTACATCGTGTTTTTCAAATGCAACCTGCATAACGCTATCATCGTGCGCGAAAATGGAGCGATGACAATCCCCAAAATCAAGACCCCATATCTTGACATTTTTGTCCGCGGAACATGTCACAATGAGTTTGGAATCAGCAGAAATATCCATGGAGAGCACAGGGAGCTGATGTGATACATTTCAGAGGGGATCATTATTGACACGAGAAGTAAATACAAACCTTGTGTCCATATAAAGATAAGAAGAACTTCAGGGTGTCCTGATAGAAGATCTTGACCGTAGAATCAAGCAGTGCTACGGCCAGGAATTTCCCGTTTGGGCTGTAGCGCACGGAGAGAACATCATCCGTCATCTTGAGAGTGCGGGTGTGCACCAGGGAGAGAAGTCTCGTGCTTTGAGGCTGTCCGAGCATGAATACTTTTGATTTAAAGCTGTACTGAAAAAAACATACATTATCACTATCCGCAGGCTTGTGCTCAAATTCCCAGAACTTAACATCCTTGTCCGCGCTTCCACTGACAAGTGCTTGACCATCTGCACGTACGTGAATTGACCAAACAGTCGCGAAATGGGCGTTGATCGTCTCTAGAAGTGAAGAGGATGCGACGTCATATAAGAGAATTTCACCTGACTTCGTTCCCACCGCAATCTGAAATCGGTGTCAATCAATTGTCCTCTTAGAGGAAGAAAACGTTAAGAGAAAATACGGACTTGACGATCACCTGGAAGGAAGGTACTGCAAACCGCATGTCCGCATTCCATAGTCCGAATACAAGCGGTAGTCTTCATATTCCATATCTTGACAGAACCTGACAATCGTCGTTCAGTAAATTGCTGTCCTGACAAATACTTTCGAAAATGAGATACAAGCCCACCATTTGATGCTGAGGCCAGGAGCGAGTCGTCGGAACTTAAGCATAGTGTCCGGACATCACTTCTGTGACCCGGAAGATCCACGGCGAAGATGCGTGAGGCCTCCGGGGACTCATCGTTCGACTTCGTCGGAGATGGTATGCTGTATACCTCAAGCGCGTTGGAAGCCAGCGCCATGAAGATCTGGGTACTTCCTTTCATGCCCGAGCTTGGATCTTCCGCACCGAAATCGAATGACCTGATTTTGCCATTCGCCCGAATGACCAAGTATGGCGTGAACAAATCCACCAACTGAATTTTTGCCCGTTCGTCATCAACTTCCATGCCCTCGACATCTCCTGCGTCCTTTTGGTCTTTCGCTCCTTTCGTCTTTGCCTGTTCCTTTTTCTCCTTGACGCGCCTCCGTCTTCGTGCTTGCTTTTTTCGAACTTCTTCTTCAGTGCGAATCCTGAACAACTCTACTGACCTGTCATGGGACTGTACAGCCAGATAAGGTTTCGACGGATGGAAGGAAATTTGGGAGACACGATGATTTGACGAAAGAGGAAGTGCTGCAACGGGGCGGATACATTTTGAAACCTATAGCTCATGAGACATGTATGTTATATTGGGCCAAACCTCACACGTACCTGGCCGAGATCGTCTTCTTGCAAGCCTTGGGCTAGTATATCATGATCAATCTTCCAAGCTTTCAGTTCTCCTTCTCCACTGCCTGTGAAAACAAGCTCGTTCCGGTTGTCAACGTCAAGTGACCATATCTCTGAGCGATGAGCGACAATAGTCTGTATACAGTGCTGTGTGGATATATCCCATAACTTGAGGAACGTATCCTTAGCTGACGTTAGGAGATAACCATGTGGAGATCCGGTGGAGGTTGATGGACCCGTAGAAGAATTGGATGTGATGAAGCGTATGGTAGTGATCTGATCCCGGTGCCCACGTAGTCTATCATCTGATTCACCTCAGCTACACTAAAAAAACTTGAGAGAAACTCACCTGAAAAGACCTGCCTCCCCCACAACGTCCCATAGGATCAAATCCGTGTCCTGTGAACCTGATGCCAGCCTTGCACCTGCTTCGTCAAATGCTAGTGCGGTCACAGCTTTCTTATGACCGTTAAAGGTGGCGATAACAGTCTGTGTAGATGCGCTCCAGAGGCGAATGGAACCATCGGCGTATCCCACAGCATATACATCTCTCTGAGGAGAGCGGAGGATGCAGGTGACCTCTGCGCGGTGACCCGTCTCATGCCACATCGCCAGCTGGGGGAGAGTTAAAGTATGATGATGGATGAGATGAAGACTATGCATACCAACTGCCCCTTCTTTACATCCCAGACCAAGACATCCTCTAGCGCAGGCACGCAAGCCAATTTGCCATCGTACTGGGAGTTTGATAACGCGCTGCACACGAGTCCAAAGGCCTACAAAGATGTCCGTCAAAATGGTCGTCGCTGCAGATGAAATACGTTCACCCACCTCTGTCGGGCCATGTCTTAGGTAGCTTTGGACCATGTTCTAACGTCTCAGCACAAGAGCAGCGGCCTGCCTGAACCAGTAAAATTCTGTCCACGGGCGCCATATTCTCGGATCTCAGATCCGGAGCGGATCATTGTGCCCAATCTCACATAGTCTTAGCTTGAAATGACTTCAGATGGTGCAAAAAAACATCTGGATGTGCTTTAGACATGTCGCAGTCTAGTTTCTACCGTACATGGCGTTCTGAAGTTGGTGTCTGAGGAACTAGATGAACAAGGAGACATGTTGAGGAAAATTAGCCAATATGCTGCGGCTTTTCATTATACAACTTCACTTTATGTCTTTCATGAACCATCGTCGCAGCCGTCCGCCAACCGCCCAGGCTTGAAACTAAAGCGCTAATGCCTCAGGTTTGCACTCTGCTATAGCGCGGTTCTGGTCCAACTACGACGAGGCCCATTCGCATCGCTCGGCCATCGTTCGGCATCTCTCCGGCCATCACATACACAGAGCAAGTGTGGCCTTACGATGTGAGGAGCACCTTTTGAAGCAGACTTTTATTGAGACCGTCCTCCTCCACTCTATGGGTCTCTACTCAGCAGTCTGCCTACAAGAGACAAGTCATGTGGTGCATAATTCCGCACAAAGCCCGGTTTGTGGCGTATCCACATGAGTCGGGCAGTCAAATAGCGTATGATCCCTATCATTCCTCCAGGACTCCGGAGCAGAGGCAATTGCGCGGGCCTGGGATGTGGTCCTCATCTCGATACAAACCATTAGGTAGGTGGTTTTTAAACACCCTGCAAGCCCGAGCCTCCATCTCCTGGAGTTGTCTTTACCTAGGGACTGGAGTGAATACCCACCCTGAGGGGCGCCCTTGCGGGGCTCGCTGTCTATAGAAGCCTGTGAGTGGGAACCGACTTGAGCCTGTCATCCCAATTACCAGGATTGGACAGGCAGAGAATTCAGTTTTCACATATGGGAGACTGCCCCCAATCAGCGACGCGGCAACTGCCTCGCCATTCCCACGCGGATGGTGCGAGGTTATTTCTGCGCTTGTCCCGTGAGCTCAACGGATGACAAGCACATGGTACAGCTACCCACACCTGATTATCCCTCTGAGATTCCTCTTCCACTCACCGTCCACCAAATGACTGTACCAGAGGCGGTATCCAGGCTTCTTAGCTTTGTCAACTCTTCCCCCACCCCGTTCCATGCAGTACAGGTCGCTGCGTTGCGTCTCGAGAATGCGGGGTTCAGCAAGGTCTGATTGCCCTCCTTTGAATGCGCCCGTATCTGAAGTCGCTTGTAAACAGTTACGGGAAAGGGATGACTGGGAAAGAACCCTACAGGGCGGAGGAAAGTACTACATGACGCGGTGAGCGGACACAAGCAGCGATATCGCCACAGAGGACAATCGCTCATTGCATCTTTCTTGCAGCAACCAGAGCTGCATTCTGGCCTTCACGGTTCCACCCAAGTGGAAGCCAGGAGTTGGTGTATCGATTGTAGGGACCCATATTGATAGCCCAAACCTACGTGTACGGTCCCGATCCTATAATCAGCCCATATCGACTGATATAGACTGTTCGCAGGTGCGACCTGTTTCCAAGCGCACAAAAGCGGGCTATCTTCAGGTTGGGGTAGAAACCTATGGTAGTGGTCTATGGTACACTTGGTTCGACCGTGATCTATCTCTCGCTGGTAGAATTATTCTCAAGGAGAAGCACGGGGGCTTTGTTTCGAGACTCGTCAAGATCAACCGACCGATTTTGAGAATACCATCACTGGCAATTCATCGTGCGTAATTTACATTAACAATGCGGGAGCTGGTTGTCCCTGACAGCCAACTACCAGTGGATAGAGGCGCTGCAGACAAGTTCTCGTTCAACCAAGAGACTGAAATGGTCCCTATCCTTGGCCTTGTCGAGAATGAGCTCAATTCGGCATCGACTTCATCGAAAATTACCTCAGGTGTACAGGAAAATCACCACAGCTCACTTTTGGCACTGTTGTCGCAGGAACTGTCTGTCTCACCAGAAGATATTCATGATTTTGAATTGTAAATATTCTGCCGCCGTTACGGTATAGTTGATGTAGTGCTCATATTTTTGCAGACATCTCTATGACACGCAGCTCTCTCAACTGGGGGGTCTAAACGAAGAGTTCGTATTTAGCCCTCGCATGGACAATCAATTCTCATCGTGAGTTGTTTGTGTGTCACCACACGTCAAGTCGCCTTACAAATTCCCTCCAGCTTCTGCGCTGTCGACGCTATCGTTAATTTTGCTGAGAGCAGAAGCTACTCGACATTCCAAGGCAATGTGAATTGCATAGTGCTTTTCAACCACGAAGAAATTGGTTCTGTTTCCACCACGGGAGCGGAGTCGTCCTTCATCTTATCGCTCTTAAATCGACTTTCACCTACACCTGGGACCCTGGCACAGTCAATATCACGATCGTTTCTTATCAGCTGCGACATGACGCATGCCCTTCATCCAAACTTTATGAGCAGGCACGAAGATAACCATGCGCCGATGATCAATGGTGGAATCGCCATCAAGATCAACGCGAAGCAACGATACGCTACCGATGCTATTGGCAGTCTCATCATTAAACAACTGGCCGAGAAGAAGGGGGGAAAGGTCCAATACTATGAAGTCCGAAACGACATGTAGGTTTTACAGACAGTTGACTGAGGCGACATATTAGCTTATTACTTCGACGTAGGGTATGTGGGTCTACTATTGGTCCGGCTTTGTCGAAGACGGGCATTCGGACGGTAGACGTGGGGTGCCCGATGCTATCCATGCATTCAAATCGCGAGACCGCTGGTACACGCGACGTTCAAAGTGCACTTGATTTATTCACGGCGTTCTTCGAGAGCTTCGCAGAATTGGACCAGACTCTTCCAGTGGATTGATTCGCATACACCGAGTCTAATCTAAATACAACAACTTGCCATACTCACGGCAGGCGATACTTAGTGTGGTGCTGTAGATGGAAACCCGAGCCTTCAAGTACTCGCTGGCGTCGCCGCTCTACAGGGTACAGTCCCAGAAAGATGTTGGAGGAGGGTGGAACCCAAAATAATGACGCTACACTCGCGCCTGGGCTGAATAATTCTGCAGCTAGACGCTTTGTGACTACGAGGGTACTTGCATTAGCTATCGTCATCGTCTCGTTCGTTTTCGAGGCTTCGATCCGTCGTCTTCTTGTACAGTCGAGACTGGGCGCGAACTTGGACCAGTCAAGAGCGACCGTTTCTTGGCTGTTCTTGAATAATGTGCAAGTACCCATTCACGCTCGGCTTCTGTCTGCTCGATCGTCCCCTGTCGAATCTCATATGCTGGACGACTCAGTGCGTGATGATATGTTAGAACATACGAGTGAATCACATACGTTTCATCTCGAAGCGAGGGCCAACTTCAGCCAGCTGGACCTGGCGCGGTGGAATTTTCATGAAAACATGATGTCTAACAGCAAAAACGGACCAACTGAGCGATTCGCCTGAAGCCCGTTGACGGGTTATCTTACCGGAAGGAAATGAAATCATCCTCATTTGAGAAAGTCATCACGCGTTTGCTGTCCTCCTTTGGTACGGGGAAGAGATATCTAAGCACGTCACGAATACGCTCTCCCAGCGTTGAGCCAAAATTCTCGAATATAAGGTGGGGATACTGCTCGGATACAGTCGACTCTTTGTACGAATTGATGTCGTGTCGAAGATTGACATTGTGGAGGGTGAAGAAAACGGTGGGACCATGTGGGAAGTGAGATACAATCATGGCATCTATCAAAGATATAAACAGAAGGTCATACAGTGATTCAATGACTAGTTGCAGGAATTCTCACCGGGTGTACCGCGATGTTCGTGCAAGATGACCAGGTCCGTCACGTCGTTTGCCCTGCATGCCTCTGCTAGCTCCTTTACAACATAATTACCCCGATTTATTCGATGTGAGTTCGGAAATACGAGACGCATCTCCTGAAGCGCAAATGTTAGCGCGATTGGGATAGTCCAGATGTGCTAGAACTCAGACCCGCCTTGGCGAATTGTTGCAACTTCGAACTTGGGTCGCGTGAAGTGGTTACTATGATTTTGGGATCCTGGATGCCCGCATTTGAGTATTCATTGTCAATGTGTGTTGTAGGATCTCAATTACAAGTAGTGTAGGTAAGACCGACCCATCAGCAGTAAAATGCCCGCTTACCTGCCTGCGCCCCATCGAATGCAAGACTTTTCCCCAAAGTTTCTGCATCCTTTCTCAACTCAGTCGGCAGAGACCTCCCGTCGGCCAGCGCGTCCTTGAGCTTCTGCTTGCGCTCGTATGTCTGGCGCTCTTGAGCCTCAAGAGACTTCGCATAGATATATTGTCGACGTTCGCGAATTTGACGACGGATCTGAATATAACGGAGATTGGTTGCTCAGAAATCTGCGGAACTAGCAAGCGAATAGCGTTACCATGATGGCTTGTACAGGTACACTGACGCAGAACCTCAGTATACTCAGTGAGCACCGGGACCAAACCAAGACCTGCTTGGCTCAGAAATTTGCAGAACTTTATCTTATCTTATCTTACAGTTGGTATCTGAGATAAGGGCGCCGAAGTGTCTGAACAAACTTCTAACCGACTATTGTTAAAAAATTGATTACAACAAGAGGCGGGGCTGAAGGCGTTGTGCTAATCGCAGGACATGGTAGTTAGAGCACGGAGAAGGGTGGCAGCTGTGAATAAAAAACTAGTCTTCACACTTCGAATTATAGATCACAACGGAGCACTCTCCCTTATTTCCATTGTCGAAATCTGCATCTCTCAGAGCTGAACAAATACAAAGCGTACAACAAAAACGATGCCCCCGTGATCATCGCATAGCTTCAAGTGTCTCCATTGATGTTACACTGTTGCCCCGAATGACCTGTATATGTTTGGATCGGCTGCTGAAAACAGCTCTCGAATGATGATACAACTTACAACGGTACCGATTGGGTGTTTCTGCGCAGGCGTTGTCTCCTCTGTTGCGTCATCAAGGACGAGATTGAGAAATAGGTCGTAACCTCGCAACGTCCCGCTAACTTTGCGGCCTCCCTGAAGATGAACAAATAACTTCTTGTCCATAAACTAGAATGGTACATGCAAGGAGTTAGTAACGTAGACGGCTGATACCAGACATAGTTTATCCTCCCAATGACAGACCTTTTTCAACTCGGGCTGCGAGGCCTTAGACATGGTGGCTGCGAGTGAGAAGCGAGCGCACAACCGATGCTGGTTTGGCTCAACCGCCCTCCCTGGAGGCTGCCGAAGCTTAGATTTGGCTTAAATTCAAGATAAGGTTGAAAGGGGTTGTGTTTGGAAAAGCAGGAGCGCAAATAAATAGAAATAAATAGGCGATCGCTTCCATTGCCAACCCGTAGCCGCGCGGTCTCAGCATTGGTCTTCTGTTTGTCCCATACCCCGCAACAATTATGTCAAAGGCCTCCCAACTCGAGTCTAAAAAGGTCTGTTACTCGAGTTATTCCCTGTTTCTGCTGTCAAGACTTCCCAAGGTGATTTGTACTTGACAGCCAGATTCGGTTGGGACGTCTACCCATCCTCCATCTGTATCACGGACCAGCCAGTCACAGTCTGGATCCGAACGAGGGTGGAGCAGAAACAACGAATTAGGAGCCGCATCTCGAGGAGCCGCCAAAGGAAGACAAGGAAACCGTGGTGGGCGAGGAGGGCGAAGTCGTGGTGGTGGCGGTAGCAAAGGGGTCGCAACTCCGAGTTGTGTCTATGATGGTGACCACCCAATAACGAAGGACCAAGCGAACAATAAACCGCTACCAGGTGCACCTGCGATAATCGTGCCTACCACGTCTACCGTCACCAAACCATCTAGCAGACCGAAACCTGCTAAGAAGGGACCGGACGGCAAAGCCTCCCGGAAAGCGACAGGTTCAGTACCCGCTACACCTCTGATGCCACACCACCCGATGTTCAGTTCCGCTCCTGCTCGACCCTCGAATCGAAGGAAACGTTCTCATAGTAAAGGAAGCGTCACGGCACCGTCAAAATCCTCTGTGTCGTCGGAGTCGAGTCTCAGTCGCTCAGAGAGAAATAGTAGTATTAGCAAGGACCTCCCTCCACACCTGTCTTCTAGTGCAGATCATCCTTCGTTCGATATACGACACGACATCGAGGCCCTGGTTGAGCGCGTGAGGGCTGTTGCAATGGATAGACCCCATACTCCCGGAAGTCATTTCGACTGGGCCACGGACGATGATGATAGTCTCCCCGACCTCCCAGATTGGGGTGTCAGTGTGGCTCAAGCCGGCCAGCTTGGGGACACCGGCAAGGCTAGTGTCATCTCTCCGATCCTGGAGGATGCCCTCAAGCCTCTACCTTCCCTGGATCCCGGAACACCTATCGCTGCCATGTCGGACAATTGCGTCGAGCGCATCACTGTTGATTCACCTACAGTCGCTCAGGACAGGATCAGTGAACATTCAGAGGTCGTTTGTCATGACACTCCCATTGCTGGCGAGCAGGACACATCTCTCAGTGACGCTGAACAATTGGGATCGAATCACAATATTTCAACAACGAAGTGTGAAGTGGTAGCCGAATCGATGCCGTCAAGTTCTAGTCATTTATCACCACAAGTAATTGGTACTCAGCCATCTTTACATCCCTCTCTGCCGCCAAAGCCGGTTACGACCATGGACTCCGCGTCCTCAAGACGTCACCCAGCCACCGTTCACAAGGCAAGCTCGGCCGAGCCTGTTTTAGATGGGCTAGCTCAATCAATGCATGCTCCTACGCCTAAATCAGCTCGCATGGACGGAACTGTTGGTGATCAGTCTCCAGATCGTGGCCTCGCGGCATCGATACATGCACCAATTCCATCCTCTCGGTCGGCTCCCAGCCATCTTTCGACACACCCTTTTGTGGACATGCCTCACCAGGCAGCGTATAACCGTTCTAGAACACTTGGACGAGGCCATCGGCAGCCACACAGTGCATCCGTATCTCATTTTTCCGACCACCAATCGGATTTGGATCGCAATGGAAGAAATAATGCTCACCATGCGCGCACGCACTCGACTCCGCCGCCAGGTTCCGGTACGTCTGCTGCCCATGGACGCTCTCGTTCCAACTATGCGACGCGTCCGGTCATCACCGGGGATGCTATCTCCAGGTTGGCTAGGACCCTCGGAGGCAGCGCTCCAAAGCGAGACAATAGTATCATCGCCATGTCTGTCGCAAAGGACTGAACATTCGCGAATGTTTTACAACATTTTCTGCTTCTGTTTCTGTTTCCTTGTTTGAATTTACTCGGCTTTATTGTTGCTTGCTGCGTTTGCGTACTCTCCGACTAAACTGCTGGATATACCCACATATATTGTTCGGTTGCTGCGACCGGACGGATGCCTTCCGAACCTTGTACCAAGCTATCTCAATCTCAGATACTCTAAACCAGTTCCTTTGTATATAATCCATTTACAAGTGGTATTTAGCTATCCAGAACTGAAGTATGACAACTCAAGCCCGATGGCTTTAATGGGTTTTGATTTACTTGTGAGATTAGAAACGATCCCCAAGCTAACCAGCATGTTATGTACCCGGCCTTCCCATAGTAACGAGAAATCCTATATGGGATGTTTAACACTGCAGTTGGTGAACGGATACAGGGGTGACTCAACAGTTGTTGTCGATGCTCGAGCTTTCACGACAGCTTGCACCTCACCTAATAAGTCTGGTTGAGCAGGGACAGTGTCAAGCGCAGATACACCTTCAGCTGTCGGTGATGATGCCAACATGCTTTTTCCTCGGCGCGTCCACCATTCCGTGCCTATTGACCACTCGCTTTCGTAGCTATATACGTTGAAATCAAACCGAGAACTCAAGGACAAGTCGCGCGAAACACGCGCAGAATATGCGCCCGAGATATGACCAAGCATGGGGTTGAACAACGCGGTGATTGTGGTCGGTGGTTGAGATGGTGGTAAATGTACGGGCGGTGTTGATGTTGGAGATAGCGACGGCGTTTGTAGGGATGGCGGTGTCGCGTCGGGTAGAGTTGTAAACCGAATTCCGGTGGATACTGCTCGAAAGATGTTAATGCGAGCAAAAACCGGGACTTTTTGAAACATGCCTCCAGCACTCTTCTCCTTAGCACTGAAATAAAATTCAGCACCAGCAGAGACACGGCCCTTCAACCCTCCTTCCATCGCATCCTCCTCATCGATTCTCTTCAACTTTGAGTCAATCCTGGCTGAGGCAGACGTCGATTTCTCGCCGTCGTCCGCAGTGTCATTAGAGCCCTCCACCTTTCCGAAATTATGCAGGCAGCGTACGCCCCACATTCCATCCTCTGCGCTCCACGTGTACTCTGTGCACCACTTGCCTGTATCATGTTGCAAGCTGAACATGATATTACTTGAAGGTGCATTTGCACCACGAATAGGTTCGGCAGATAGACTCGACCGTGGATCAGAAATAGCGGCGACCATAGCTTGGAAAGTTGGGGACAGCCTAGTAGAATAGAGGGCATCAAGTCTACCGGTGGGAATATAAACTCTCCCATATAAGAGATAATCTGTTCAGAGCTAGTCAACAATGCGGTTGAATCAGCGACCGGTTCTTGCACATACTTACCGCGAGTGTCCACTCGCTCACCTGCAAGCCATTCCTCCTCCTTCCCCTCCGGTCTCCGAGGCTGGTCGTAGACCTTGAAATGATCAGTCATATCCTTGAAGCGCACGTTTCCTGATCCTTTCACATCTAGTGGACAAGACGTGAAGATGTATCCTACGGAGCCGTTCAATGACGGCAAGGCATTCATCGAGTACGTCGTCTTAAAGAGTGAATTAGGAGACTTGGATATTGAAAAATGAAGACCCTGGGGAACATTGAAATCTAAAATGGCTGAAATATGACTAGAAATCAGATCGGTAGAGTGTAACACAGCTGCACGGCGCGCGCACCGTTGGACGATCGTGTGAGGTTGGCATACATGTTGTCTTCATTCCACCCTGTAGCACGGTAGTAGCTACGTAACACATACGAAGCGAACGGGTGCATCTTTGGAGATTAGGACTTGCCAGAATCCATTAGGCTGTATATCCGACTTGAGACTCGAATGGAAGAACAACAGTGGTTTCAGCGCAAGAAGTGGTAAAGTTGGCCGTGATGTAACAATCGTTCAAACTAGCGCTGAACGAGGGATCGGCAAAATTACAAGCATTGGCATTCCCTACTTCAATCAAAATCTTATACTGGACACTCATTTTGCCTGAATGAAATATTGAATGCATAAAAGACTACCCTATGTCCATTGGCCATACTCAAGTCCAATGGCGAATAAACAGTGAGGTGAGAATATACAAGGAAAGAAACATCTTTGGAGCTTCAGATGTAACTATAGCATCTGTAGTTCTCTTCGAATGGATGTTACTTGATCTTGTTTCTTCATATCTCATTGCTGCTTGTGCTCTTGCTCTTCGGCGTTCCTATCCAACCCATATTCTTCAATCCTAGCTTTGAGTCAATCCTCAAGTCGCTCCGCACGCCCGAAGTCAATAATGCGGAAACTGGGACGATCGAATGATCGCTCGGATGGTGGATGACTGAGAGGTCCTGGCTGTATCAAAATGTTGCGCTCGTACAGAAAATTCTGGATGAAATTTGCATAATGCAGGCGCAAAACGTGCGTCAAACACTGTGATCTATAATCCAAATGAGAAATATGACAATGTACAGGAATACAACAGACGCACCACTCGTCAGGATTCATACCATATGATCGAATGGGTACACCACATTCTTCGACCAGCAATATGGGGCTGCGATCAAGATGACAGGATCCTATGTATGGATCCTTCGGAACGTGATATCCATAGAATTTTGGTACAACAGCATCTGCCGGTACCGGATACTTGTGGGGGGTAACTAAATTGAACCCGTTCCAGTCTTCCATGAGATGCTTCGGCAACTTGTTGTAGATGTTCGCCTCTTTTTCCAACATTCCGCGTGCTGAAGATGATGACCCAGCAATCTTCACAGCAACTATTGCTTACCCAGTAAGGTGTCCATCACGAGTGGAGACAGGAGAGTAAAAACTTCCTCGATATACGGTAGAATGATGCCCAACACCAATGAGAGACGATGCTGACAAGTGTAAGCGTGCGACGCGCAACTGCGTAGCCTTCGGGGCAAGGCGGTTCACATCAACAGTCTTCGCCTCGGAAGGAACCCCCAGATTAGACTGCACATCCCTATCAAAAACAGGCCAGACACGTTCGTATTCGATCAGAAGACGACTGGGCTTTTCCTCGCGAGCATAGCGTGTTGTCTTGAATCTGCAACCTGTCCCAGATACCAAATCATTAGTATCGTTCACCAGCAGAATATTGGGAAAGTATTCGGAAGGGATGAACTCTTCAAGTTTGGGTATGTTGGATTTTAGGTGCTCGCATTCTAGCAAAGCGGTGCGTCGAGCAAAGTCATTCATATCATCTAGATCGTGCTCTGATACATCGTGTTTCGCAGCCGCGATGTCGTCTTGAACGTGCATAGTTGAGTACGGAGGAACAACGTATGGGTCGGGCTCGTGGTCATCGATTTTGTCGAGCTTGTAATGATTCTCTTCCGACTCCTGGATCATGCTGCGAGTCCACAGGCATATTGCACCATCGTCGGCCCTTCGCTTCGTCCAAAAAAAAACTGTTCATGTCTGCACCCCAGATCAGCTGGTTGGCCGTGCGTTTTCCACAAGGAGGGGGTTTCTTCAGCAAAGGTCCCTTCGGGTCTCTTGGCCATTCCTCGAATACGAAGCGCCTGCGGCCAGCATTGTCTTCCGGTAAAAGCTCTATCATGTCAACGCCAGTCGTCTAGAATAAAAGACTGCAACCACATAGGATGTAGGCTCTGAGCGGGGGACGTACAAAACAGGAACAGGGGCCATTTATATGATTGCGGCTGTGGGAGTATGTCCGAACTTGAAAGACCATGCCACGGATCGGCCACAAAAGGAAAGACTACAGTGGCGACGCCACTGTACCTCAGCTTAGCAGGCTCCTTCAAGTTCAATATTCAATCTGAGGTGGATTCCTCTGGTCGAAAGTCAACTTCAACATCCACCCGCTCTGGAACGGGCATTGTACGGTATGCTATGAATAGCGAAGAGACAGAGTAATAAAGACTGGCTAAATCGCGAAATTCACCGACATGGCGTCGCTGTTTCCGCCCCCTGGTCCTGGATTACCATCCTTTCGTACAATGCTTTTCAAGGGACCCTATCATGCTTCTGCGCCCATCCATTTGATGCTCTCGCATGTAGCATCCAATCCCAAAAGCAAGGCTCTTATGCTGAGTCCTTCCCGACAATCTCTCGCACTGGCCTTGGTTGACTTCAACGACGAGTGGCTGAACACTCACGGAGCTGATGGTGCAACTTGCGATGCTTCTTCTCGGGTCAATATCTTGTCCGTAAATCCTGAGTTAGGCTATCGCGACAATTTGACCTGTTGCCTGTCAGATATCCGCCAACGCGGGCCCATTATACCCTCCTTCTTTCCATGTTACATACCCATCAAGGTACCTTCCACCATCCTAAGACCACGCTGCCCATCAGCCCATCTCTGCTCATACTTCATGAGATATCTGCACTTGGTATCATCGACCAACCTGAGGCAACGTGCGTTGATTGCCTTTATTACGACCTAGGTTGACGTTCACTACAAGCCAGACTTGCATCTTACTTATCACTGATTTCTCATGCTCTGACTGCCGTCAATCATCTCGCGGTACAATCGTAAGTGTCTTCGTTGAGGATTGACCCATGAAAGTCTCGTTCAATGCGTCTTCTTGAAAGATCTATTGGGGTAGCCTTGGCAGTCTTTGATTCGGGATTGGAAAATCTCAAATTGCCTGTTCTCCGGCCAATATCTCCAGGGCCTGGAGATCAGTCTCAGCCAGCCACTCTGCGCAAAGAATCTATAGCCATGTGTGTGGAAAAATATTTTGAATGGACTGGAACAGCAGAACGTAAGCACCTACCACTTTTGAGAGATTCTGTAACACTCTCGATAGAGCACACCATAGTTCTCGGACATTCTAACTCATCGCCAACAGAAGCTCACGCGAATGCAGTGAACGAAGGTAAAAATATGCGCATGGTCTTTCGGCGCGAGCAAGATTCTCCTCCTTCTGAGATAATCTGGACATGGGTTCTGAGGATGCGGCCAGCTCATGTTGGTGACGATAAGCCAGGGGGAAAGTATTTCGAGTGGATATTGTAATTGTGCCTCTCCCGGGCACTTATTTGTCTCACATAACATCACTGCCTAATTGGGCTGCATCCTCCTTTATACGCTAACTATAATAACTTTATATCTTCTACTTCATGTTGTGATAGTAGGTTGAACTGAACATGTTGTATTGAAAGAGTCATGAAGTTCGCTCGGTGAATGGCCCGCACATGTGAATTAGTTAATTTATACTTGATCGTCACTCGTGATCTTAGCCACTTCGGGCGTCTGCTCTCCGTTCAGATTGTCCTGCTGTCCGCTACTTCTAAATAACAACGTTATTCTCGTGCCCTTGTGCTACGTTAACCATATGGAGTTCTACAACGATGTAGGCGGGGACCCTTATAAGCCAACTCTTTTCGAGCTATTCGCACAGGAGCAGTTAAGGGATCTACTCCAGCCGGCTGTGAAGTATGTGCTCTCGGTAAGGTGCATGTACTATTTCCTGGATATCCCGTCTGTAACTGTCCAAAAGATCTTTGCCCAAAGCTACCCTAGGTATCTCTTACGTGTAGTCAATCGACATGAAGAGTTCTATGCGCTACTCATGCTGTTCGTTGAGCGTCATTTCCTACGGACACACGGTGAGAACTGTCTGTAGACATGTTTGGCAGATGTTTTCTCAATAACTCAGGGGCATCGTTTTCGGAAAACTTCTATGGCTTGAAGCGAAGAAGACGCACATTATTCGAAACTGAGCGGGTACATGCAGCTGTTCCAGGAATCCTCCCAGGGGAGAAGTTGCGCGATAAGGAGATCTGGCGTTCTTTGCTCTTCCTAGTGAGTAAAATGCACCGGAATTCTTCTTCCTATGACTCATGGGGTTACAGGTCGGACTTCCATATTTGCGTACGAAGGCGCAGGAGTACTACGAGGATCTTGGTGGAGGCGTACATTCTGAGATCATGGAGGAGAGCCTGGCAAATCGTCGCGCACAAGTGCTGAGCGAAGAGGTATATAGGATGTTTGTCTTCTCACTTATGTGTTCACGATGTCAGTCATTGGCAGGTCGTTTGAGACGGGCATACAAAGTCGTATTCCCTTGGCTGAACACGAGCTTCGAAGTCTGGCTTTTGGTACACAATATTGCATATCTCTTTGAACGAACATCGACCTACCGACCTTGGTTGTCCTGGATAGGTGTTGATATTCGTCGTGTTGGGGTTGACGACCTGGTGAGTTAATGAGTCGAATGCAGAAGTCCGTTCCCTCACGGTGATCTAGCGGGATGCACAGCAAGCAACAAGGCCAGCACTCGACAAACCTCATGCGCGAGGTTTGTTGGCGACAATGCGACGCCTGCTGTTTGCTTCGCCCCGACTGTTGCTTGATTCCTTCAATGTCATCCTCCCTATGGCCATATTTTTCGTGAAGTTCCTCGAATGGTGGTATTCGCCGTCATCACCGGCACGTGCGCTGTCGACATCGCCGCTTGGACCTGCAGTGCCGCCACCGAAGTTGGCGGCCCCACATCCTCAAGGAATACAGGTGGATCGGACGGCTTTCGGGGAGTGCCCACTCTGTAGGGAATCGTTCGCGAATGCGACTGCGCTACCGTCGGGCTATGTGTTCTGCTACCGATGTGCGTACGAGTATGTAGTTGCTCACGGACGATGTCCTGTTACACTGCTGCCAGCGCGAGTGTGGCAGCTGAGAAAGATTCTAATCTAAATGAGATTTGAGAGCGCACGTTGGCTAAATCTGATCGCGAGATAGAGATGCGCCCAGTCTACACTCGCACGTGGGCGGCTCAGCCATCTCAGCCATGTCCGGAACGGCCTCCTGATTACATTTCGTGCTCTATTCTCTTCAATGAGGGCCCCGCGACCACCATCGCTTCCAGTCTCGTATCTGCTCTGCTCTTCGTCTCGCTGACCCTCCCCTCAACATCCAGCGGCGATCATGAAGGTACCCCGCCCATCCGTGTTACCTCCTGGGTCATTGCTCATCTCAGTCATTTCCCCCCAGTTTGGCAAGCAGATCCAGGCAGAACAGGTCCCTGGCTGGTCTGCCTACTATCTCGACTACAAGTCACTAAAGAAGATTATCTCCTCTTTAACCACAAACCGTTCAACACTGAGAGCTGCAAGCTTTGCGCAGAGCGTTCGTCCAGGAGATTTACTCGCACGGGCGGCCACGTCTCTGGGACAGCTCACGTCGGGGCCGTACGATGAGCCCCCCATCCTTGCCAGCCTAGGTCAAGATGATGATAGGGGACCCAGCTTCCAGACCCACAAAGCAACGTTTTTCTTCAGACTCGAACGCGAGTTGGAAAAGGCGAGCAGTATGTGCTAGATCCCTCGTTTCTTACTAACGACAGAACAGATCAATGCGTTCTATCTCGAGAAAGAAGCCGAACTCAAGCTGCGACTAGAAACTTTGCTCTCAAAACGGAGAGCTGCGGCTGCACTCGTTTTGCCTGATTTGGTGGACGACGCGTACAAGAATCATGTCGAGTGGAGCGCAGTAGAAGAGGGATTCCGTCTTTTGGAGCGAGATCTCGGAAAGCTACAGGTAGACGAACCTGTCCTCGTCTCATAGCCTAACGCACACCCGAGAGTATCTAGCAATTCGTCGAGATCAACGCCACTGGATTCCGTAAGATTTTGAAAAAATGGGATAAGCGCTCCAAATCCACCACCAAAGAACTTTATCTCGCCCGGCAAGTTGAAGTACAGCCCGTGTTTAACAGACAGGTATGTTTTCTCCTTGGTTGCACGAAAAAAAATCGTAATCTTTATTACAGCTAATATCAGAGTTATCCGACGTAGTTGCAACATGTCTCCTCGATTTGACAGACCTCACAGTTGGTCTCAATTACGAAGGACAACTTGCGGATGAGAATATCCTTAGTCGACAACTCGGCATTGACCGCAACGTAAACATGGGCGCCTTCCACGACCTCGAGAGCAACCTCCGTAGAGCAGTCTCAGATGGAGATAGAAATATCTTGCGGGAGCTAGTTCAGTACTCTGATTCTCTTTCGCAGGCTCAGGATGCCCGAGGACATGTCACGCGAATATTGTGGAAAGCAGTGATAGATGCGCCACCCGACCTCGCAGATCTCATATTGGCCTCAACGTCTGGTTCCTTCGACTTCATGTTCGTGGACGATATTAACGGTCGAACATGCTTGCACGAGGTTGCCATTGTCGGTGTCCTTCGTTTGGTCAATCTCTGCCTTGACCGTGGCGTACATCGCAATAAGGTCGACGTGTACGGGCGTTCCGCGCTGCATTATGCCGCAATGCACGGGCATGACACAGTGTGTAGGCGATTGATTGAAGTCGGCCTACCGCCAGATATCATTGACGTAGACAACTGTACGCCGCTCATTTATGCAATCCTTGGGGGATGGGTCAAATGCGTGCAAGTGCTACTGCAAGACGGCAAGGTGTCGGTCCAAAATCGCACATTGAGCGGAGACTTGATACCGTTGTCATTGGCAGCTCGTTGCGGACACATGGACGTTGTTGTCTTGCTCCTTCAATATGGTGCTCCGAGTTTGCCCAATACCAATGGCGAATACCCTATACATCTGGCGGCACAAGAAGGTCATGCGGATATTTGTCGGATCCTTACCCACCATGAAGGTTGGGACGTTCCGGACAAGTACAATGAATGGACACCCCTCTTCCACGCTGCACGATATGGGCGTGAAAAGTCATTACGGGCACTTGTCGACGTCGGCGCTCGGACGGATCGTTTTGACGAACTCGGTAACTCTGCGTTGTATTACGCTGCGTGGTATGGGCATCGGTCCTGCGCCATACTCTTACTGGAAGCCGTTGCAAACATTGCTCCTGGACATGCCCCGATTGCACAAAAGTCTCCGTTGACGGACACTCAGAGGTCTACGGGTACTGAATCTGACATCGACGTGATACCCTCTTTGTATCTCCCACCACCGATGATGCCTTACCGAGTCTATGGTCATAATTACTTGGATAAGACGTTCTTGATTCAAGTCACCATCGGACATCTTACCTCAAAGTTTGGCTTTGATCTTGCATCTGCTGTCCACTTGCGACACCCGCTTTCCGACTCGCAATACGAGGATCGACATCTTCACTCATCATCACTGTTGAAGCTAGTCATGACGGCGACTCCTGCTATAACCTCTGCTCCATACAGCGTTCCCCTACCGATCGGAGACAAGAAAATTGTATTTACTTTCCAGGTTTCGTCCGCCAATAGTCTGTCTTTGGAATTTTCTTTATATCCGAACTTCGGCACGAAGACAATCGGACGCGCTATTGCTCTCCCAGACTTATTCCAAGGTATACAGAATAGTCAGCCGTTCGTTCTTCCCATCCTTGATCCACGTCTGCATATCATTGGGGAGGTCTCGTTCGAAGTGAACATCATCTCTCCATTTAATGGCGTGGCTCTTAACATTGGAGGAGCTGTTGAGACTTATTGGAAATCATTGGCTACACCCGTTCCAGGCCAGATTTCGAAAATGGGCCCTTCGCGTTTACTGCAGTCAAGTCGCACTGTTGGTTCTGGACACCCGTCGCCCTCAATCCCTACTGCAGCTGTCCTGGGGGGACACTCCCTAACACATTCCTCTGTGATTGGGAGCTATGTCTATATTACCGTGCAAGTCACTCGTGATCTGCATCCTGTAGTATTTCCGGAGTGGCTTCTTCCGGAACACGGGTACGAGTTGGGTGTAGCCGATGTTACTCTTGAGGAATTCCACGCTTTGGCTTCGCGTCTAGGTCGCAAACTATCTTGCATGAAAGATTATCCTATCACCCATTCGGACTGGCACAGAGTAATAACGGACTCAATGGTGTCATTAGCTGAGCTGATGCAGGTTAGCTATTCATGGCACTTTGTGGCGCCAGGCTCCACGGCTGATGCGTTTGTCTTTAGATTATCCCAACTACGATCAGTATATGCGTGCATCTAGCTTATCCGTCGAGCAGGATCAGACAGCGTCTCTCGCTACGGCATCAGCTAGATCTGAACGATGTCACGAACGCCGTTCTACGAACAGTTTATGACACATCCAATCATGCCGGAGGCTCATCAGGACGCCGCTCTGTAGTCTTTACGTCTTTCTCGCCTGATGTGTGTTCGGCTCTCAACTGGAAACAGCCAAACTGTACGATCAAGTCACATTTCATGTATCTCCCGCTAGAGTACTCACGCTAAGCTGCGTAGATCCTGTCTTCTTTGCATCGCAATGCGGCGAGAAGAGCCGTGCACAGCCTAGCCCGGCCGCGTTAGGCGTTGATGACGTGCATGATTACAGATTCGCAAGTCTTGACGCTGCAGTGGAATTTTCACGGTCGAATAATCTGTTGGGGCTGCTGTTAGATGCTGGTCTTCTGGTTCGTCTTATCTCCGAGCCGGATTTTGCATCAGTACTGACTTTATTTCAAAGGCCCAAGCACCTTCCTTGATTCAGGGTGTGAAAGACCTTGGTTTGCTAGTCGGCACTTACGGGTCCTCGGAAGATTTGGGCAAGCTGCCCACCTCATCCGGGACAGATCCCCACGGAATAGATGCAGCTTTGCTAGATGGAGTTTTGACATATTTTGATTTCTTCAAGCGTACGTAAATAATTAATGATCTGTATCAGGAGTACATCAAATCAACAAGGTATTGATATCTGTGGCCTACGTGAATACATGGTTGTATGATATATTTCATCTGTCCACTGTGGTCAGATATTGGCAGCTACACTGCGTTCGGTCTCTGGAGACGGACGGATCGCATGCCAAGTGTACTTGGAGATCGCGGCAGCATCGTAATAGCACGCGTGCACTGCACAAGATTCACTGTAGTTTTTGATGGTGACGTATGCACAAGCCCCGATTACTCCAACACAAGTTCTGATTACTCTAAGTATACATGTTCCAATAATCTTCTCCCTTAGATCGAAGCTCGATATAGTGCAGCATACTGGCCATTACGTCTTAATAGTTCCTGGTGGGTCCCGAACTCAGAAATGGTCTAAATGGCCAATCAGCGCGCGCGACTTCATGCGAGCCAGAAGACACGAACTCCGCTGTCCATCATGACGATCTTGTCCGCGCGACGCGCTGTCGAAAGGCGATGGGTAATAAAGATCACAGTTTTTGTTCGGTCGCCATCCGGTGAGCGAGAAGCCTTTTCCACGTTGTCGAAGATCCTATTTTGTGCGTGGGCGTCCAGAGACGATGTCTATGACGCGTCGGAGAAGCTTGTAAGTAAAGTCGAAATAAAGACGCACTGGCTCATCGAGAAGAATTAAATCGATTTCGGGACGGCGGGCTCTCATAAAAGCTCTGGAAACCGCTATTCGCTGCCACTGTAATTTTCGATCTAATCAATTGCAGCAGAGGTATTAACCAACAATCAATCTTACCTCTCCGCCGGACAATCCGTGGTGCGGATAAGTCGACGCCATACAGCTTGGAGCTTCCGCAAAGGCAGTATTGGCTGCTTCATGACTTGCCGCATCGAGCTTCGTTTTTAAACCCTGTGGTAGGGAGTGTACGATGTTTTTGGCACCAGCTAAACGGATGGCAGATTCGATTGCAGCCATATTACGCATCTCTTTAATGCAGCCAACACCAATATTCTCTTGAGCTGATGCGTTAAACTTGGAAAAGTCCTGGAAGACAGCGGTAATGTGGGCGTGATAATCTTCTGGGCGTAGTCGCTGTACATCTATCCCATTGATGAGTAATTCGCCGCTGTCAAAATCCAAGATCCGCAGGAGTATTTTGGCCAGTGTTGATTTACCTTCCCACGGCCGTTCCTGTCGGTTCTGAGTTAAACTCAAGTCATAGAGGCGACTCACCAGACCCATTGAAGCCTACAATTGCTACGACTTCACCTGCCTCTATATTCAGGTCAATGCCTTGCAAAGCCGAGGTTATACAACCCGGATACGTGTATGATAAATTTCTTAAGATACCAGCCGTCAATATTCAGCAAAATATGGACCATTCGCACCCACCTAGCCTCCAATCTCATACCTTTAGTAAAACTTTGGTATACTGTTGCCACCTCTTTCTTCGGCTGCAACCGAGGTTGAATCGACATCGCAGCCGAAAATGCGCCCATGAGAAAAATACCCTGGTACGCCATTCTAATTGACTGCGACAGATGTCCAATGGTGAAGAAGAGTGCTTGAACGGAGCTTTGGTACAATGTGAATGTTCCGAATGAGGCGGAAGGCGATTGGAGGATAAGTACGAGTGGTATCTACACAAAGCATACCGACTAGGTCAGCTTCACAAAAGCAGGAGTTCAATATAATGCAAACGTTTTGAATCATCATGAGCAGCCCAGAAACATTCACATGCGACATAAGCCGTGAATAAACATCCGACTCCTCTGAGGAGTGACAGCCCTCCAGACCAAGCATGGCTTTCCGAGCCCGAGCCCACGAACGCAGAATCCAAGGTCCAAGGCCGAATAAAATAACCTCCGGACGATACGAATCACTATGCGCCAGGATGCGCATTCTTTCTTGCTTAGCAGCCATGTGGGCTTCGTAAGGTTTAGCAAGGTCGTCCAAAAATGATCGACCATTGCTGGAACGTAGAATGAAAGGTAAGACTGATGACAGAATAGATATGAGCAGCACAGAGATATGTGCCCCGTTAAACGCAAGCGAAGATAGAACCAGAACGTGAGAGATCAGCTCAGATACGAGGGTGAGGATTCGCATGAAGTCCAGCGTCGAGAACAAGCCAAAGCTCGACATGCCACTGAACGACCGCGCGAACAGGTCGGCTTCATGTAGCAAATCACGGACAAGGGGATCAGCGAGAGTCGGTATGTCAAGACGGAGCCGCAGCTCCATCTGTTGATACTCAACCCGGAGCCGTGCAGAACCATGGACAATATTCTCGTTCGACGACCTATCATCGTCTCAGACGTGTGCATGACTACCTGTAACATCAGAGGACTCACGCGATCGAGTCAATGAGGCTCTCGGATCCTGCTCTGACGATCTCGGTTGCAACTAACTTGGACAACCGCGACCAAGTAAAATGGCCAGAAAAGATGAGGTTTTGTAGCTTATTTTACGGCTCAGTGAACGCGCAACGGCGCATATAGTGAGTACCCACCTCGTTAATGAGCAGAGCCTGCGAATAGCCTCTGAAAGCCGGGAAAATACCGCGGATTAATTCAAGGGTAACCATTAGGGCGGTCCGCCATGGGTGGAGGCTCCATAGGAGTCTGAATAAATCGACGGCACATGATTGCATAATCGTGCAAGCCAGTCTAACGTTGGATTTGGACAGAGAACGGTGGGCGCCAGGTGTCAGATATGCACCCGTGTCATTAGGAATGGTCCTAGATGCTAGCCATGCCTTGTAAATCGCACCGTGTGGATGAGCCTGCGCAGAATTCACAGCCTGTCGGCTTGGGAATCGCAGAGAATCATGAGAGTGAGAACCATGAGAGGGAGAAGGGGAGAACTCGGGTACAGGAGAAACAATGTGCGACAAGAAGACTCGTACGCGAGTACGTAGCGTCATGCTGAGAAGCAAAAAAAAAGACGGAGCGCGGCCAGGTTGCCATGGCTGGACCATTTATGAACGGGTGGCGAGCTTATTAGGGGCTGCATCCCACGTCAGACGTGGTTTTTTGTGTTGAGGGGCTTCCGTAAGATGAGATCCCGAGCGTCTGCACCTGCGCAGGTGGGTCTGTCATTTTAAGGAAAATGCGTACCAGGAGAGTTGGGGAGGAGAAACGATAAGACATCAGATGAGAGTTCATAAATCAATCTAGAGTCGGAAATGGCAAGGCCGGAAAGCAAGAGAGGACAACACGACCGGTTGAGGTTGATTTCAATGCGGCTGGGACCTGCCCTTTGAGATGTCCGGATGGAGGAGACAAAGAGCGCTGCATCCAGACTTCCTTTCTCGTATGTCGGAAACGCCCACGTGCCCCGCCCCCGCGCTGCCTCCTTGCGAAGTTTTCCGCCATCCTCAGGGGGCCTTTTCGTCTCGCCCTCTACCATGTCCACTGCAGACCACAGCTCGCTCCTGTCCGAAAGCCTGCACAAGCTGCAGCTCGACAAACACGACCCGGAGCCTCATGGCGACAGCGACTCTCCAGCACGAGGCGGAGGCAGCGAGCAGCCCGGACTTGGGCGAGCCGCATGGAGTGCTCATGTACGCGAGGGCTACGGCTTCCGCCCAGCCTCGGGACAGTCTACTCCTCTCAGCACGTCGATTTCCGGCGTCGACACGGGCAGTCCCCTGCCCGATCCGAACGGTCTCGGATGGCCCGGTATGATGTCGCGAGGTGATCGTCAATCGCGCCCTTTCGCCTGACCCTCTCTTCCAAGCCAAGTCCACTTTATCTCGGCTGAATGCCACGCCCGCAGAGCGTGCAGAACGCGAGCAGAGACTTGCCGGTGCCGTCCGCACCATCCTCGAATGCATCGGCGAAGATCCCGACAGGGAAGGCCTTCTCCGCACCCCAGAGCGCTATGCACAAGCACTCATGTGGATGACCAAGGGGTATGAGGAACGTCTGGCAGGTACTACCATTCGTGCATCATAGCGGCCGCATCTCAACAGTGTTATATCATACATAGATGTCATAAACGACGCCATTTTTGCCGAGGACCACGAAGAGATGGTTATTGTTCGCGACATTGACATCTCTAGCTTGTGCGAGCATCACCTTGTCCCCTTTATGGGCAAGGTAAGTCTCGTCGTCTCACTGGCTCCAAGCCAAGCCGGCGACCCAAATTGAATTTACTATAATGGCGCTTCTAGATTGCAATAGCTTATATCCCCAACAACCTTGTTCTCGGCCTATCCAAGCTGGCGCGCATTGCAGAGACATTTGGTCGCCGTCTTCAAGTCCAAGAACGTCTCACGAAGCAGATAGCACTCGCTGTCCAGGAGGCCATCAAACCCCGTGGTGTTGCAGTTGTGATGGAAGCAACGTGAGCATGCTGTCAGCTTGGTCCGAGCCTGACTGCTGACATGAGCCACAGCCATCTTTGTATGACCATGCGTGGTGTTCAAAAGCCAGGGTCTATGACTGTCACATCATGCATGCTTGGATGTTTCCGGACACAACAAAAGACGCGCGAAGAATTCTTGACATTGATCAAGCGTTAGAACTCTCAATGTTCTCATTTGCATCTCCCGATTCAACTCGCATTTGATTCAACTCACATCCGCATGTATCCCAATTCAACATTGCAATATCTTTATCGTCCCAGAATGACTTCAGATTTACTACTCATGTAAAACGCAGTACTGTACGGATAGTGATACAGGTGTCTCGAATAATATATGCTACAGAGATCCGCCAGGGTATGAGATGCCTCAGCTGTTGCGACTAATACGGGTCTTGTCTGCGTTTGGGTCTATGGGTAGGAGCTTCTTAGCAAGTCCATGAGTAGGAGCCGCTGTCGGATAACGATTGCGATTTATTCGAGGGCGTTTCGGAAGCTGGGAAGCTTGATCGTTCGGATTGGATACTGCGTCACCCGCGTCCTTCTCTCGCTCTAACACAACGATTAGCCCTCGCCGTTGCGTTCACATGATAAACCTACCTGAGAGCGTTCGCTTCCTACCCCCGTCACGCTCCTCGTCCCTACTTGGTGAATCATATGTGGTATCAAGACGATAACTGGCAGGTGCTTGCGGAATCGACTTGGGAGCCTCCTTATCACTTATGCGAGCACGGAGACTACCACTTGAACCATGCAGAGATTCTTGAGCGGCTGGATCGTTGTTGATTACACCCTCGGATCCACTCAAAGGCAGATGCTGCGTCTTCCAATCGCGATCGCGTCCAGATGAGTCAGATCTGACCAGTCTCGAACTATCCCCAGTTGCCATTGCGCGCGGGGCAGATGGTGTTGTGGATGGCAGCAATTTCGACGCTGATGCTGGAGCCTCAGGCGGACGCTTGTCACCAAACTGTAAGATTTTGAACCTCAGTCCCCTAATCTGAATCAAGGGATGCAAACCAACCTTTGTGTCAATAGACAGGCTTCTAATCTCACTCTCCGCCTGATCTCGGTCTTTCCTTCGTCGATCTGACTCCCGAGTTCTCTCGCGACCGTCTTTCTCGGACGAACGACGACTCCTCTCATCGTGATGACTCTCCTTTCTGGAGATTCGCTTGGAGGACCGATCAGACTGGAGGGTCGATAAGCAGTGACAGATACAAGGGAAATAGGGACATACCTCGTCTTCAGTTCTTCTCCTCTTGCCCAAAGTTTCGTCCCCATGTTGTGTGTCACGATGACGGGGTACATCCGGTCTTGCGGGCAAACCACGTTCGTCGATGAGCGGGCCACTCGACGCCGCAAGAGCAGCAGAGCGGCTTCCACTATCACGCTCCTTCCTACTCTCCCGTTCTCGATCCTTTTCATCTCGCCGGTGTCGGTCTCTGTCCCTGTCGCGATCACGGTCACGATCCCTATCACGATCCCTGTCCCGTTCCCGATCGCGCTCTCTATGCGCTTCACGATCTTTGTCTCGGTCCCTCTCTCTGTCTCTGTCTCCCCTATCTCGCTCTCGCATTCTCTCCCTCTCTCCATGACGGTCACGACCCCGTTCTCTGTCTCTGTCCCTCTCTGACTCCTTGTCCCGGTCAGAGTCACGGGTACTCCGGGAGCTGCGTTCACCCCGCGGATGGGATGGAGTCTCTCGGCGGGAAACGTCTCTGCCATCTTGCCGAGTGTCCCGATCTTGACGTTTGTCGTCAGGCCGCTCGCCATCTCCCCGATTAGAACGCCGACCTCCACTAGCACGACTTTCCAAGCTTGGGTTTCGAGTACCCGGGCGACTGGGGGGCGTAGGAGATCGGCGACGCGAAGTGGGAGAAGGTGCCGTGGATTGGCCGCGAGGTTCTATAGGTAATTGTCTTTCTTCGACCTTCTCTGACGAACCGCGACTTTGCTTAGCAGTCTCTCGTAGTATTTCTGCGGAGAAAGTTTGGCTTGGAATAGAGGGTGGAGGCATTGTTTGCGATACGCTCGTGCGCATGTTTTTCTGGTCATCAGGACGTGGAGAATTGGAGACATCTCTGCTAACCAATGTTCGACCGTTCAGAGACTGGATGGGCGTAGATGGTCGAGCCACCTGGGTAACACGAGCCAGATCCTTGTTAGAAGGCACAGCTTGGGAGTCGACAGTTGCAGCTTGGTTTTCGCCCATCAACACATCTTCATTCGTCGAATTCATACGAGATGCACGCGGAGCTGTGGGCGTGGCGCCATCCAAATGTCGGGTGGGTTGGTCAACATCCATCCCACTAGCTTTAGAGGACTCCTTCACATCCTCTCCCTCATCTTTCGGTTCTTCTGTAATCTTTGCATCATGTCTGATCCTTTTCACAACCTCGGGTCTCGGGACGCTACATCCAGGCATTAGTTGGAAATAGCTACCTATGAATGCGAGACGCCATACCTCTCCAGGGCTATTTTGGTCGGGTTCGTGCTTGGGCGATCGCCTGAAGTAAAAATCGCACCATCCGCAGCCGGCTGTACTCTAGGGGCAGAAGGTGCTGTAGATTTAGGCCGATTGTCCACAGGGGTAGGATTGGACACAACAGGCGGCGTGTTATTTCGGCTCTTGTCGGCACCATTCATAGCGAGTTTAGGAGTGGCAGTGGTAGAGGCAGCCTGTCAATGAATGTCAATAACACCCATGTTGACAGTCTAGTCGTCAACCATACCTTGGGGAGAGGCTTTGGGGCCAACCAAATCGATTCTCGCTTTCTTAAGCTTGCCGTGTACCTGAAAGAATTATTGGAAAAGGTGAACATAATAATGTCACCGCCAAAACTTACGCCCTTCCCAGAATCTTGAGGTCGCCACGAGTTTCTTTGTCCAGGAACCTCTCCATTGCCATGCTGAGGCTTCCTCCTGCCCACTCGTTTACAGCAGCAACAGGGAAAACGGGGAGGATCTCTTTCAAAACAATGATAGCATTGTAGACGTGCATGAATTCTCCTGTCTCTATGCAGTCCAGAAGACACTAATTTCGAGAATTAATAAGTAGCACTCGAAACCGACAACGCTCACTACCCACTTTGCACAATTTCCTATGCCATTTTCGCACGATGGTCTTGTAGTCCTGCCACATAATGATATCTTCCGCGGCGATGATAGGTTTCTGCGACCACCGTCTCTGAAGTCCGGGAAGATAGACGATTTTCCCGCCAGTTTTACTACGATTCTCCTGAGAGAAAAGCTGCTCATCCTGGAACCACTTCGAAAGATCCGTCAAAACACCGAGCAAGAAACGACCTATGCTGCGATATGAATCGAACTACCAACCGACTAGAGTCGTGGTTACATACCGTAATTGCGTGCTTCGTATTCACTGCACGAGAAAACAACAGTCTTGATATGATCTCCCAAGATCTGACCAGAACTTAAGTGCGATTTCAGTGATTGATTCATATGATGAATCACCTTATCGTAACACATGAGAGTGGAGAAACCAGGGGTGCCTTGCATATGAATGACTTTAATGAATTGAGCACAGAAATCTGCATCCATAGGTGACAGAAGAGATCGCGGTTGAAAGCAGTGCTCGACCAGTGACGAAGCCAAAGGAGCGGCCTTCGGGTCTAGAAAATGTAGTCGAGCAAAAGGACGAACGTCTAGAAAGTTCACTCACTATGAGCAAACCAATGCTGCTTCTCGCGAGCAAGTCGCTTGATCGTGAATGCACGCGCTATGGTTTGCTCTTTCAATTCTTGTCCTAGCATGTTCACGTACATGTTGTAGCGATTGCGCTTATCCCTATGCGTATAAGCCGTTTGCCGCTTAGTCCTGTCAGCGGAACGATCAGCAGCAACCCATTTCGCATCTTCTTGGCGACTCAGTGTCCGCAACGCTGAGCATTCTTCGTCATATCTAGCTATAGGAGGCGCAAGATCATATGTCGACAACTGCCAAAAGGTAAGGTAGAACGCTGGTCTATAGAACGAAACAGTGAGAGCTTAGCATGATTCCAGAGAGATAAACCATACCCTATAACCTCAGCGACGTTCCCGGGGGCGATTTTCTTGACATCTTCAAACAGGATATACAACTCCGACAGCCACGGAGTCTGTGATTTTTATACTTAGTCAAACATGCGGCATACCCATATGAAGCCAACTACCTCTTGTGATGACGTTGTTGTCAGAACCTGATTGTCTAGTGGTTCGGCATCCGTCATTTGAATATCCACCGCCGCCGACGGTTTCGGGTCCAACGTCGGGTCGATACCTATCGAAGACTCTCCGACGCTTGGTGACGCAACCCGGGAGCTTGTATTAGGTTCGCGCTTCGCAGTGAGTGCCGCTTTGAGACGCTTCTCCGCCTCCTCGCTGGCCAATCGCTCCCTTTCTTGCATCGCCAACGCGGCCGACTAAAGCGTCGCGTGTGAATACCTCATAAAAATTAAGTGAAGGCACATACTAGTAATGAAACATTCAACATGGGTCGAATGATCTGCATGCAGATCGGAGCACAGATACCATATTTGTCATTAAGCTCAACCAGCGACGGAACAATCTTTTCAGAATAATCCTGCGATGTGATGACGGTGGGCGTAGTCAGAAGCTCGAGGTATTGTAAAAGCACTCCATGCGTCTGTATAAACCTCAGTATAGCACTGAAACTGATTTAAATCTACTGACCGTATCATATAGACTAGCCAGCGACTTAAGATGTGCATTGGGGGCTTTGAAAACGCACGATTGTCGCTGTTGCGCAACCTGAATGAGCAGAGGCAATGCGAGCGAAGATTCCAACAAGGATTTGCCGAGGCGCTGGGGACCTTTCAACACAGCATCACCTGGATCAAGACGTGCACCTCGGGTGTTTGACGCTACTGCCTCAATGCGGAGCGTCGGACCACCAGCCATTGCACCGATTTGTGCATCAGACAAGCTGGGGAGTGGCTCAATTCCAGCCATTTTCCAGATCAACTCTCGCAATACGATGATCTCCGTCGTCTGCCCACTATGAAGTTGATGAACAATGTACTTGAGGAGAGGAGTCAAATCAGCACTGTAGCGGCGGAACAGCATGCCAGTAAATGATGCGAGGCCTATGGAACTGTTAATGCATTGTGCTGAATATGCGGCCGGACGACGCACTCTGCAGCCAGTCGGAAGTATTGACACCATCATCCTTGACTCGATCCTTGTTCGGGTTCGCCATTGCATCCAAGATGATGAATACCAATACATCAAAACCCATGATTGTCACGTAGTTCAGAGCTTGAATAACCACACCGGCTAAATTGTCGTACGCCATAATCTGGTTGACCGCGTTGGTGAAAAATATGCATGGGTTCGAGTGGGCCAACTTCGCAACGGTTCCAGAAAGCGATTCTATGGTGTTGTGTGACAGCCGACGCAAGATCCCCTTCGATTCACGGTCTGACTGTACTTGTCGAATCCGTAATTCTGGATGTGAACGGTACGTGCTTGACTTCCACTCGCCATACAATCGCCAGCGAAGAATAGTATCGTACTGCCGAATGATGTTCCACACCTCCACTGTGCAAACAGCATTGCCACGAATCAGTGGCAAAGCCGGAAGCAAGTATCGGCGTAATATATTAAACCAGAATGAGCGAATTGGACTATCAAGATTATCCGCTGGTATCGGTTTCTTCGTTTCAGGATCAGTGGCGGTCTGTTGTGCATGTCAGTATGAGTTGCATGAATGCAAGTCACATAAATTACCGTAGTCCCCATATGCATTCGGCCAAGCCGCAGGAACTTGGTCAGATAAGCAGGATCGCGAGAAACATGCAAGCCGATGAAACGCATTAACGGCTCGACCACCTCTACCAAGTCGTCCAGAGACGAGCAAGTTGGAACTAGCTGCACCCAGTCTGGGAAGAAAAAAACGAAATCAATCGCACTGGTACTGGGTGGGGTAGGTGCCCACAACGTGAGGTGCTGCCTCCGCTCTGGGGCCGGGATCATGCCAGACGTGCCATACCGACCACGAGGTTGAGTAAAGCTAGTATTTCGATCTTTTGTGTTCGTGCTTGATTCGTACAATGATGCCAAAGAGTGTTTCAGTATGCGAAGCATCAAGTCAGCAAGTTCGGGGAATGCATCAATCATCCAAGGAAACTTGGATAAGATAGCGATGGCAGGCCTCAACGCTCCAACAGAAAGCAAGGCATTCAGTAAGCCAAGTTTCTGATTCGGGATGCCGCTGGAATTGCTTGTCTTTGTAGCTTCAGCCGTGGTAGGGGGCTTAGGCTTGATAGTACTTCCAGACGATTCCAGCGGAGCAGCCATCGCAAGCTGACTGATTTTAGCGTTTGATATTCGTTCTTCAACTTTGGTCAGATATTCTTGATGCAACACGTCCATATCTTCATCCGTTGGAGAGATCTGATACAATACATGAGTGGCAGACTGAGTGCAAAACCAACATTACGCACGTGGGTGTATAACTCTTCCAGAGAGATGAAACCTTGGCGTATAAGCAACGCAGCCATAAGATACAAATTGCGAGGCACATGTTCAGTAATTTCAGAAAGCTATCTTCACATTAGCAATACGAACCGAATCTTGACAGCACAGCGCACCTGATAGTGAGCAAACTTAAACCCAAGGACTTGTGCTAGCACCCGGGAATTGGAGCCCGCAGCAAGAGGCTGCTGCTCATCCGGTCCCCTTTTGCCTAATGAATTTTCTGCCAACAAAAGAACTTCGTCTAGCGTCTTGCCTCGAAACCTATTCAGGTCAGCCTCAACCGTCATGCCATCTTCATCGTCACCACAAACCAGCTTTTGTGGATGAAGAGACCAAGGGGAGAACGAGAGGAATACGAGGAAAAACGCGTAATGAGTTGCAACATGCGCAGAGAAGACGTCGAGGACAATATCAAGTGCGCGGTTAGGGTCGAGATCGAAGTATCCAATCAGCCCCACAATTCGTTCCCAGGCCGGTCGCGCTCGAGCCTCTATAGCAGCACGACACTCAATAGGATAGCCCGTAGCGGACGCATGCGCTGGGCCCAAGCGACTAGTTAACTCAGTAACAAGCTTGCTGTACCCCTCAGACTGCTCGCGGAGCAAGTTAAACTTGTTTTGCCTATAGCTATACGTAGCCGTTAACTTTCCGAACCTGAATAACAATGATAACGGTAACTCACAAAAGACTAGTTCGCGTGCGTATCTCTTTTCTATCGAACGTTGTCTTGTCCGGAATCAGCCCAGCGGCCACCATTAACCCTGAATCCAATCTCTCCCTACATACACCGGCGTCAAGGATGCCGATCGACTATATAAGACACTGTTAGTGATTCAGCTGCTTGTGTCAACATAACGACAGACCAATAGACGTTTCAACAAGCTCGCTAAAATATCCTTGTCCGACTCAGCATTCTGCTTGATGCGCAGACCTCTCGTCAGCACATCTTTGTCCAACACTGAATCTGAGTCGGCTTGCTCAGCATTTGTCACGATTCCCTTTGTGTCAAACAAAAGCTCCTCCAGTTCAGCATCGATGGTCCAGGCGACGTCGACAAGCAGTTCCCCAAATATAACGACATTCTGGGACGTTTGCGGAGCGAGGGAAGAGGATGGGAGGTGATCGAGCACAGAACGAACAAACTCTACGAATGTATCCACAGTGAGAGTATTCCGCGGAGACCAGCTGAGAAGCGTGGACACAAGAAGAGCATGGTATGCATTCATGAGAATGTCATTGCTGTCTGGGTCGGAAGGATTGGAGTGGGGAGCAATAAGGATTTGACGGCTGCTCATGCATGAGCATTAGAACAGTGATCGGTGAGGGCGTAAGCCTACCATTTTTCTAATCCACCAGATTCCCATTTTTCGATATACTGCTGGACTTTGTTGACGATGTCCATGGAAAGTGCGTCGGGGTTCAGTCAATGTGGCGTGTAGACCGTGGCCACGGAGCGATTCTGTGTGAGCGCCGTCGTCAGAGTGTAATACTATAGATACTGCCAATAATGCCGAGATGGGTGATACAATGCACGAAGAGGGCAAGGTGCTAGCTGTCAGGTCCGCCGACGTCGTCGAAGAGGGTCCTGGCGGTTGCTGCGAGCGCCGAGAGCGCCGAAACACACTTTCCTCGCTGAGTCACGAGACGAATCGCTTGAGCTTGTCTGACAGTGTCACTGGACACAGCTGAACTTTGAAAGTAACTAGATCATCTGCAGCTGGCTCTCAGGCATATCTGCATGCATACCTCTGCTCGCGGCTTTGCACAAACAGTTTCGCGCTACCCTTTATCATGTTCAAGCTTACCTTATGTGCATCACTGGCGAGGATAAAATTTCCGGCTACCATATACCGTATTCAATGAAGTGTTGTATCAACCCCCCTCAGCTGTCCGCGCTGCGAGCCGTACATGTTCATATTGCTGTAGAGTCGTCGACCGTTTTGCGGCTTCAGACGGCGAGCACTGTAATATTTCCCTTTCCTTCTAGGACTGTCAATCCGAATCGCAGCTCCCGTCAGGAACTTAGTTTCGTCTTACTGATGGTATGCGGCGGTATACTGCATTTACAGAAGAGAATTTACCATGAATCGAGATCAGATCCTACCCCTTGTTCGAGCATCGTGCGATGTGAGAAATTGTAATTGTCGAAGACGCATTCCATGATCTCATCCCGCCGACGAGCTAACGAAGTGCATGTGGTACATGTGTGAGACGAGGTCGCACATGCTGAGATTCGTCGGTGATTGTGTTGGTCTCACGGACGCGGTGGCTGGACACAAGGGCTATGCTGGCTCGACAGGGCTGCACGGCCCAACATCCGCCGCCTCAATGCTCATCAACAGGAAGACACTATAACACATTTGCGGATCAACCGCTGGAGAATACCTGTCTTTCTTCATCAATAGTATCAACAGACTGCTCCAAGCTCTGGACAGGCTGATTCATGCGTACATAGCTCGGTTATGTATGCACACAAGGGCTGTTGCTGTCTGCTGCTAACACCGCGTAAGATGCAACCTATGACAATGCAAATGGCCAGGGCAGTCGCCGGGATAGACCAATGGATGACGGAACCGGTCGACATCCATCTTGAAGCGCCGGGTCCAGAAGGAGAGCGGCGGCTTCCCTGTCTGGGCTTTCGCAGACGCGTGGGTAAGCGAACTCGGGCTCAGTCTTTTATAACCTTGCCAGCGCAAAGTGCGTTTCGCCTTCCGGTCCCGTCGTTTGACCTGGGCAACGTCCAATGCGCCTATAGATCCCCGTCGCTGGCCTGTTGTCCGTACTCGCTCTCGCTCGTCGAGCAACATGTTGTTTATGTTCTTCTTGTCTCTCTTCGGCTCTCTTGCCTTATGTTGTCTTCTTTTCCCATCGGTATGGACGTCTATCACGGGTGGGGATGAGATATTCGACGCACATGAGGCTGGTTTTGCTTTGGTTGCATCTCGTGCGTTACGTCCTACTCCCTCTGGGCTTGTGCTGACTGTCCTCATTAGGATCACCCTTCCGTGAGACAGGTCCTCCCGCATGCATGGCAAAGCTTATCATGTTGAGACATAAAGTAAGTTCATGCATTTCCAAGTGCTGCTCGTTGGGTCGCTTAGATCTGTGCCTACAGATAAACCAAGACAAAAGTCGGAGACGGAGCAGTGTCAGTCGAGCCCGTCAGGTTGCGTTCACCTACTCTATTCCATCTATTCGGTCAGCTCGCGAAACTCCTTGGATGCGTTTGGGCAGGGCGCGTGGAAAGCAGAATCACTAATCCCACTAATTGTAACTGGCATCGCTGAGGCATGCCATATATACCCGAGCGTAGAATACCTTCGAATCATTTGGCGTGGCTGTGAAGTGCTGTTTTGGCTGATGCGGCTACATCATCAGTACTAATCATAAAGATAATTATTATTGCAAGACATAGATTCAAAGTGGAAAGTACATGTGAGCATTACAGAGGGTTTTGTCCTAAAATACAGAGAATACAAGGCTCTAGAGGTATGTAGATTGTAGAAATACGGCTATGGTATCTGATCAGGAGCTTGCCTGGAATTTGCTCCGTCTACTGGTAGACACTGCTGACAGTGCACTAGCTGATTTGGTTAACTTGCATGGCAACTTCATGGCGCTGTCCGAAGAACCTGGTCGCTGGCCTTTTGCTGTCCGCAAACCTGCAGTCTTTCCCCTTCCGCGTGCAGTCACAGCAGACACACCCGTGGAGCGACTGGTACCGCCACTTGTACGAGATTCGCTCTTGGCCCACAGTTGCATGCGAACTCGATCACGGTCATCTTCACCACCTTGACGCTTGGACTGAGATAATGCACATCAGCTGTCGTTAGCTCTAAGTGGACTGTGTAACTCACCTGCATATCAGGGTCCCAGTCTGCTGGACGACGCGTTGGCTTTGTTACCGCATAAATTTCCTTAATAGGAAGCGCTTCATCGTCACTCCCTTCCGCATTTGCTTCCATCCACGATGTGTCGTGAGGATTGAAACATTCAGGCGTCTGTCAATTTGAGATGAGTAAGGTTGAAGGCCGCATTTTCAAATCCACTGACTCCTTCTTTAGCCACTTTGCGAAGCTCTTCAATTAATGCTGCCGCAGAAACAACTTCTGGCTCAGAGCCTTCTTCTGCATCTGGGTCGTGCTCGTCAACAAGAGTCAATTCGCCTTGTTGTAAGTGCACGAAGTCGTCGTCATCGAGCATATCTGCATGATACGCCTCAACAAATGCAGCCGTCGATGGGTTCTTGGCTGCAGAACAATCTCAGCATCACCCTTTACATTAGCGGAAAGACGGGTGCTGACCCAGCTCTTCCAGAGTATCCCCCTCAATTTTCCGCTTTTTAAGCATCTTTTGCCGTCGCCACTTCGCATCTTCGTCCTCGTCGTCGGACTCGCTATCTTCAAAGCCAAGCCCATGGTTGCGCCGTCTTGCTCTGAGTTTACCGTCGGCTGCATCTCTAGCGTATTTTTCACGGAGCTGGTCATCCTCCTCCCAATGCTCCCTTGAGACAGGGTAGTCGGTTGCATAAATCAGCTACGTTCAAAAAGGCGAAAGGGACAATATACCTAGCTTTCTCCAGAACGGCATCCGCACCCAGGGTCTTATCGTCCATTGCTGCATCGTCAACCAATTCCGCCAACGTGGCATCCTGGCTCTCATCATCGCTCTCGTCGTCCTCTTTCCTACGCCCACCGAAGCCGATCATAGCGTCATCGTCAGATTCTTCCGCCTCACCCTCAATGAACTCTGACTTCTGTAGCTTCCTGTCTGATTCAGTGGGGGCATGTGCCGCCTGCTTTAAAACATCAAAAGCATTGCGGTGTTTGGTGGGGCTAGGTGAAGGACTAGAGTGGCGACTATTGTCAAGATTTGTGGGTTCTGGCGGTGTCCTCCTCCGCTTTAGCAATCTCCTAGGTTGCTCATTAGGTGTCTCCATCTCAATATCTGAGTCGATAGGTGCAAGTGGTTTGCGAGAAACTGAACCAACGTGCGTGCGTTTCCTTGCCGATTGTAGAATGCTGGCCATAAGTGGCGATGACGAAGTGTGCGATGCCTGAAGAATGCGAGCACTGGGAACCGATTGCGTCAGGAAGCTAGAGGGGGAAACATCAATCCACAGATTATGTGCAAGATGACGATGGCACGTACCCATGTTCATTCACATAGAATTGGGATTTGTCATTGGAATTGACGTCGAAATTCTCTGCTAGATAGCCTTGTTCTTTCTCGAAAATGTTGTCTGCTTTTCGCAGGAGAGTTTGGCTCACTTCAAGCGTAGGCTGAAGACCGACATCGAGAGTCAACGACAGCTCTTGATCGGATTTCCTCGTTGTCAAGGAATGTGTTTCATCCACCTAGTCCCGACAGTCAGCTTTCAATTTATATCGCATTCCAATAACTGACCGTTTGTTGAGTAAAGAACTGTGACAATCCACCATTTTGCGGTACGTTCGGCACCAATGAGGAAGAACCGGATACGTTTTCAGATGCAAAGAATTCGGCGAAACCTGGTTTCAACGTGGTGGGCACATTAACAGCGCTAGAATCTTGGTCTACATCTTCGGATTCTCTACCCCCTTGCAAGTCCGGAGACAGTCGTCTTGCAGGGGGTCCCATGGTCGGTGAAAATACTAGTCGGCGAGCGGGAGACTTGGCTATCGGCGCAAAAGGACCATCTCCGTCACTATCATCTCTACGTAGCTCCTTGAGAGGTGGCCGTCGATCTTCCAGTGGCGTGCTTTCAATAAGCAGACTGTCGTTGAAATCCCCATCTGCCAGAAAGGCCACTCCCCTTAGCGCAAATGACCCACCGCTGGAGGTTTGGTGCCCGAGTAATGGTTGTGCTGCGACGGCCGTGTTCTCCTTATCCTCGCCCCGGTCATACATCAATCGGATGTCATTCTCCTTGTCTGTGCCATCCTCTGTCTGATCCCCGGACGACGAAGCATATACTCTGCGATTCCTTCCATAGTCTAGAGCAGAAGAAATCACACTCAAGCTGTCTGGGAAAACGGCCTTGCTGCGAGACACAAGAATGCCATCTTCTTCGTCGGAGATCACGGCTGAGAAACATGCAGATTTAGAGGGTAGAAATACACTTGTCTGTTCTTCATCATCTGCGTCAAGATGGTCCAACTGGCTGTTGGAGGCATTTTGATTATCTTCATGGGTTGATTGACCGAAGACATTATCACTATCCTCAGTAGCTGACTCCAGCGCTGTTCGCTCGTGGCCATCCTGATAATCTGGGTCGTCCTCGTCCTCGCCCTCCGCCTCATCTTCTTGTTCTCTATCATCTTCTCCTACTGCGATGCCCTTAGAGACTACGGTAAGGAAAATCCGCTTGGCTTCACCATCTGAGCGGAGGTTGCTTGGCCCTGCTCGTATTTTTCCTCCACGCCTCACCCATTCTTCTTCCTTAAGCCTCGTCGCTTCTTCTGCCTGCTTCCCTGCGCTGTTCAATAAAAACCTGTTCAGATCGTCCTTACTGACCAACGCAGAGGTATGATCCGCAATATCCTTCGTCAATCGTCCAAAGGTAGGAGCAGCAGCATCCTTCAAGAATTTTACTTCGCTCTTAATCGATTTTCCAACAAGCTTATGAATAGGGCCTGCGAGAGCAAGTTGTTTGGACTTTCCCACTGAACGCTTGAAGCCCTGGGCGGACCTGACTTTCCTTGCTCGTGCCTCGTCTTTCGCAACTGTTTGCATGTCCTCATGGACCACCTCGAGATCACTATCGTCTTGATCTGATATATAAGCACCACTCTTGGTGTTTTCCAGCGCCCTTCTCTTGACCTCCGCGAGCTGTTTACGCATCGTCTCTTCCTGTCGTTCCTTAGCGTCATTCTCGAGCAGGGCCCCCACGTCGGGAAGTTCTTCATCGCTGCTTTCCCTTAACAATATGGCCTTTGGGGAGTCCGGTCCAAGCAATCCGGTAGGCACGAAATCAGATGTAGCTTGTAGTATTGGAGAGCCGCTACTCGTCGGCTGTGGTGATAAGGGAGATGGTACTCGTGTCTTAATCTTGCGCTTTGCGTGTTCCGTAGGAGATGACGAGAAGGGCTGAATTGGGTCTGAAGCTGGCCCTTCGGAACTGAGCAAAGGGGGATCATCTGCTGGTGAGATGCCTCGTCTGGCACCACAATCAGACATGACATTCCTTACAGCGATGCGTTCGCTTACCCTATCTTCTCGAAAAGCTGTGTCAATCCGATTTGTTTCGTTTTGGAGTGAGGCATGGAGACAACTCGCTCGGCGACCATTCGTGCCGTGGCTTTCTGTGTCTCTTCCCGCTCCTTTCTGGTGGGAGCCTGAAATAACCCGATTATCACTGGGGGAAGTTATCATAACGATGGGTGAGTAGCACGAACCTTTGTGTGCTTTCCATTCGCATTGAATGCCCTTCGCCTTGTATTCCTCTTGTGCTCTCCGCCACCAAATTGTTCCTCGTCAGAGCCTACGAAAACGCCCTCAGATCTCTGTTTGCCTTTACCTTTGACACCGGCGACGAGCGCTGCAGGAGACACACGTCGAGTAGAAGAAGACGGTGAGCTAGATGCTGCGAGGCGAGGCGCCACTTGCTGGGAGGTAGCTAGCGCGATGTCTGAGTTCAATTGAATAGGTAGGTTCCTGAGACGACGACGATGACGAGCGACAGCCGGGGATGGGGAAGGAGACGTAGTGTGATCAGGAGTGTGAGACTCAGAGGCCACGCGAGTATCTCCTCCGAACACGGCCTGAGATCCGCTCTGCATAATATCATCCCGTAGCGCATCTCGACTATCCAACGCTATTGGTCGTTCAGCATATATAGAGTTGAATTTCTCGAGGTCTTTTCTCCAAGAAAAAACGAAAGGAGTTCCAGTATTCTCCCCATCGCTATCGTCGCCATTATCACGGGTAGGAAGGACTATCGATGAATCCAACGCGTCACATTCGTCAGAACTGGGTGGAACGTCCTCGTCAAAGCCAGAAGACCGCAGACTGCAAGAACTGGCGCGTGACGAAAGGGTGGTACGTAGTGTAGAGGTAGATGTATCTGCGTCGGACGGAGACTCCTTGCGACGACCATAGGTGACTGCAGCACGTTTAACGACCGGAGACGAAGGAAGCGACATATTAGAAAGCAGGGCCAGCTGCGACACGGTAGTCCAGCACAAAATCGTCGGTCAAACACTATCCGCAGAGTGGCTGTTTGAGGCCAGCTAGTGAGTTCGCGCGACCAGTGGTGGCACCGTGTTCAACACGCTGTGGCTTACCGTGTCAAGGCGTAACGCATCGTGACATAACGCGTGTAAAAATATGCAATGGCAGATACTACAAATCAAATACATGTTTAAGGTGACCAGGGTCCTACTGCTAAATTTGGTAGAACTGCACAGTTGATGCAGCCACCCAGGGCATCCCGGACATTTCGTAGTGTACGCTTTCACTGCTCGCCACGACTCTCAAGACACCCACAAAATGAGGTGAGTATTTTCACATTGCATCGATCCCGGTGGTTGACCTTTAATCACAGTCACCGTAAGGTGTGCAGATCGTGTTATCGCCAAAATATGCTCATTTAATGCTACATCGTCCAGTACGAGGCCCCCCGCCATGGTTCGCTTGGATTTCTGCCGCGAAAGCGTGCGGCGCGCCATCGTGGAAAGGTCAAGGCATTCCCCAAGGTATGTGATCATTGTGCGGCTCCGGATGAGTGTGCAAAGTATGGACTGGTATGCAGGACGATTCCAAGAAACCTGTCCATTTGACGGCTATCATGGGTTACAAGGCTGGAATGACGCATGTCGTCCGTGATCTTGACCGTCCTGGATCTAGTACGCTGTTTTTGTTTCTGTCTATGTCCATCGTGCTCAGTTGTAATACAGAGATGCACAAGAGAGAAGTCGTTGAGGCTGTAACCATTATCGAGACACCCCCGCTGGTTGTTGTCGGTGTCGTCGGTTACGTCGAGACACCCCGTGGTCTTCGTACCCTCACGACTGTCTGGGCATCGCACTTGTCTGATGAACTTAAGCGCCGGTTCTACAAGAACTGGTACCGTTCGAAGAAGAAGGCTTTCACTCGGTATGCGAAGAAGCATGCGGAGGACGGTGGGAAGTCTATCGCCCGAGAGCTTGAGCGTATCCGAAAATACTGCACTGTCGTTCGCGTTCTTGCTCACACGCAGATTCGCAAGACCGGTCTCAGCCAGAAGAAGGCGCATCTTATGGAGATTCAGGTGAATGGTGGTTCAATCGCGGATAAAGTTGAATTCGCGCACGGACTGTTCGAGAAGCCTGTGGAGGTTGGTACTGTGTTTGAGCAGGATGAGGTGGTCGATGTCATCGCCGTGACGAAGGGACACGGTTTCGAAGGTGTGACTCACCGGTGGGGTACCAAGAAACTCCCTCGTAAGACGCACAAGGGTCTTCGCAAGGTTGCCTGTATCGGTGCTTGGCATCCGTCGAAGGTCATGTTCTCAGTCGCTCGTGCTGGTCAAAGTGAGTATGCACCAAGTGTGCTATGTCCAGCTTATTCACTAATATACTGCATAGACGGTTATCACCATCGAACTGAACTGAACAAGAAGATCTACCGCATTGGCTCGGGTGACGATGAGGCGAATGCTTCGACTGAACACGATATAACGAAGAAGACGATTACACCTATGGGTGGCTTCCCTCACTACGGTATTGTCAAGAACGATTACCTAATGTTGAAAGGCTCTATTCCCGGCACGAAGAAGCGTGTGATTACTATCCGCAAATCACTCATGGTGCACACGTCCCGTCGGGATCTCGAGAAAGTGCAGCTCAAGTTCATTGACACGTCGTCGAAGTTTGGTGTGAGTACTCATATCATCCGCCTGCAAAGAAGTATTGTAATAGCGAGAATGTGCAGCACGGCGCGTTCCAAACATTCGAAGAAAAGGCCGCGTTCCTTGGAACGCTCAAGGCTCGGGCATAGTCCGTCGCGCTACGTACTTGCATCACTTAGTTTTAGGCCTTTTGTCATACTACGCTTCTATGCTATGCTTTGTATTTTCGATGCAGTCAGATTGGGCACATGAGTGCGAGAGAGAATATGTAGTATATTGACCAAGAACATATCACACATCTGGCTTCGACGTCGGACCGCCCGCATACATAGACGCTCGTGTCACGCATCGACTTTCCAGTTGGCAATGAGCGCCGAGAGCGTGACACGACGTGTTTGCCACAACCATCTGCGAGCTCGCTCTAGCACCAAAAGTCCACTCGTTCGGAGGTCCCTTGAACGATAGTTGTGAGGCTTCGATCCTTTCCTGGATAGTCCTTGTGGGGGTTTTTGTCGCGTCGCGGTGCGTCTGGAAAAATCTACAGTGTGCCCAGCTCTTAATGTCTTCCCAGAATGACTGCATAATCCATTGATGCTGAGAGTGTCCTCTCTGGGCCTCCTATGGTATCATGACGCGCTGCCTTCTACCTCACTGTTCCTTCATCGTCATCTCTCAACAGCTCGTCTTTCCGTGCCCGATATTAGCGAGAGGACCCCCTCCCATGGGGAGGATAATAGCACGCATGACAACTCGACCGGCGTCGATAACGAGAAACAACTATCCGTCTCTCCAAAAACGAACACAGGCAGACGCCATCCTCTCATACCCCCGATCCAAACCACGAAAAAAGGTTCGACTACGAACTCGTCTCGAACTCAAGAGCATCTCGTCGTTGCGCCCGTGTCTCGGGCAATTGCGTCGTACCTGTCGGCAGGGACGTCGCGCTCGCTTGATGTTTCCATGGGGTTGTCCAAGCTAACCTATCCGGAACTGTCTACGAATATCTTACAGCACGAGGGTACTTCGATCGTTAACCAGGATTTCGGAAAAGGCCGAGAGTACTTCGAAGAAATATTGGCAAATACGTCGTCGGCCTCGGAAGCATGGGATGCCTACCAGCGATTAATGGAATTCCCTCGTCCCGCAACCAATGCTCTGGTCGTCCATTATGCTCTCCTCCATCGCCTCGCTCGTCTTCTCATGTCTGTTCGTCCACGGACTAGGTCACTTTTTCTACGTCTTCTTTCTGTTCTGACCTCCTTGTATACATCCGGTGGGCGTGTGCACAAGTGGGAGTGGAATGCCTTGATCGATTGCGCTGGAAAGGGCTGGCGGAAGACGAGGATAGAAGATTTTCAAGCTGCATTGGACGTATATAACGATATGGTCTCCCGCAAGGCACCTGGTGCAGCCTTTAATTGCAATCAGCACGATTTGGCATGCCATGATTATGGCCTCGATGAAAGCTCAGTCCCCCAACCAGACATTTTTACTTACACAACCCTACTGCATATTGCTGGTCGAACGCTCAATATCGCTGCTTTGCGCCATGCAACAAATATGCTGGAGTCATCTGGAATACCCCGTAATCGCATCACCCATCTCGTGCTCGTCCGCTATTTTACCAGGAAAGGCGACCTCCTTGGCGTGCGGGCGTCCCTTTTAAGGATGAGGCAGGATGGTCATGAACTTGGCTTGGATGGTATTAATGCATGTGTATGGGCATATGCACGGAATGGCCGCATTGACATTGCTGCGCTTCTATACCGAGTCCTAAGGCATAACCTAATACCCGAAGACGAGCTAGGAGCATATGAAATCGAGACGGCGATTGAACAGCTGGCTACCACCGAAGGCCTTGTGGTTCCCAGACACCTCAAACCTGACGCAACGATGTATTATGCCCTTATCCAATGCTATGCATACCATGGCGACCTTGTCCAGGCTTTGCGCATATTCAGCGACATGATCACGACAAATGAACAGGAGCGTTTTATGCAAAGCGATCTCGACGCAGTCGACCCATCGTGGACGGATAGATCGCCTACGTTACCAGCGTTCCGGTCCATCTTCCTGGGTTTTGCTCGCCATGGAGGTAGAACTGCACAAAGATTTCAGGATGCTGGCCCTCTCACACGCCAACTGACGTCTTCCGCGTGGACTATGGATAATCTCGACGCCCTATTCACCAGCTTCATCAGACTACCCCACGAAGCCAGACCTAGTGACAGGACAATTTATTGGCTGTTGATGGCCTACGACAAGCTAAGTGGACATGCAAACTGGAAGTTGCGCAGGATCTGGGAGCAACTGGAAGAGAGATTCGGTGGCGGGTGGGGAGGGAGACTGGAGCGATTCAAAACAAGGATTTATGATAGTTCAGAGACCAAAAAAGAATAGCGCATTGCATTGTATAATTGCTGAGGTGAAACTAAAGTACAGAGCAGTTGAAGCCTGTTCTAATTGCTACTTGGTATCTACATTCTTCCTCCATTTTTGGTCCTCCATTGAACGTACTCCTCCCAATCTACTGTGCACTTCCTACTTTGATACCTGCGCAGTTTGACGCTGCGACGAATGTCTTCGGTGATGCGCCCGTTCCAGCCAGCTTTATGAATAGCACTGTCTATGGTTTCAATCTTGTCCCAACCTTGTTCAGGAGCAATTTCTGGTAGATATGTGGCAGAAAATGTGTGCTTGAGGCTGCTGCGTGTTGGTACAGAAGAGGAAGAGGACAGCGGAGACGGTGAAGTTGAAGGAGATGTGGGTGCGGGCAGTAAAGTTGGGTGAGGGAATGATATGTGTATGCCGTGGACCCCGACGGTCCAATCAAGGTAGGATGACGCATCCTCAAAATCAGTGAGGAGTGAGATACTAAAAGAGAATTCAGGAGATGGCAAGTAGTCAGTCAGTCGGGAGTGACATACCCGCATTCCAAGTTCACGAGTTCGTGCTGCTCGATCCCCTTGAATCTGGAGTCCTCAAATGCGCTGATGAGTGCGTACTCGGCTAACCCATCCCTCAAGGAGATTGGCTGGAAAATTCCAATGCATCCTCTTAATCTTGGGGCCCTACCAGGGCGCAAAGATCTAGTGTTCCAAGTCACGAACAGGGGGCTACAACCAGTCAGGCACCATGTACGATCGAGATGGATTCACGCACTATTTCTCGTCCGGGAATTCAGCGGGGAGGAGCGTGTGCGAAGTGAGGGCGCAAAAGAGAGCATCGAAACAGCGAAAACAATGTTCGGGAATGCAGACGTTGTCCTCGTCTTCCGACACCACTGCATCGGGATTGGGAGGAATGAGAGACATCACTCAACGCAGCCCCGAGCACTAAAGAGGAAGAGAGGGGTGAAGGCAAAGCGCTGCACTTGCATTGCATTTTCACCGACCGGTTGTGCCCGTCTAGTAGAATGTACGAACCTTCCGATTCGAGCCAATTGGGGCATCGTACTAAACTACGCTAATTGATCATAAATGTACAATGCACACTACATATATATTAGATGAGCGCTGCTCTCTACATTAATTTCAACTGCAGCCTCTGTGTAACAGCTGAGTAATAGCATCTAGGCGAAGACAGACCCGGATACGAATGTCCGAGTGATTGCATCACTATTGACATGGTATGTATGCTACGACATGATGTGCATGCAAGAAAATAAATCAGGGCAAAAATCATAAAATACGATGTGCGTGGATATCCTGCCTGCGATAAGCGCAACGAGATCTGAGTGGACAGGGTGGACGTAAGGATGTGGAACATGAGTCATGACGAGGGGCAGACGCGACGGGGTGAGGCTAGCAGGGATCGCGATAATGCTGGATGGTGCAGTAGGCGAGGAAAACTTGTGTGCGGCGGAGGCGGAGGGAAGAGAAAAGAAAGCGAGAAGATATCAAGCCATACTTACGTATCATATCGAACAACAACTCCAGGATGTCCCCGATGCCGCCTGTGCCTTCTCTCGCGCCTCTTCCGCATCTGCCTGTGCAGCCCACACAGGCGTACTGACGGGCGCTAAGTACACGCTGTCTCGTCGCTTCATTTCGTTTTCCTCTTCTATGCTATCTTTCCGCGCGATTATTGCCGCAATCAGAGTGTCAAATAGTTGCTGGATTCCTGCAAGCCAGAGAAGGTTAGACCGGGGTCAAAAGAAGCAGTGATAGATGATGCGGACCAAGGTCGTCTTTCGCAGACACTTCGAATAGTTCCATACCCTTGTGCAGTCCCCACTCTTGATCATCCGTCTCCGTATCGTCGTCATCTTCGTCCATACTGTTACTACTCCCTTCTGCAACTTGGTGCCATCCAGCGGCCCGATATCCGGACTGGGTTTCGAATCGACAGGCTGGAGGGCGGACAGCGCTGTCCAAATTGGTACTAGGAAGTAGAAGGCTACCACTTTTAGCTCGCGGACGAGTAAGAGCAGTAGTGTGGGAGCGTTTCATAGCGGTGGCCCTGGGGTCGGAGTATTGCACTGTTTCTGGTGATGGAGATAATGGAGGCTTTGTTACGGGGGCAGGCGCTGAGCGTATACTCGGGAAGGATGTAAATCGGGGGCGGATGTAGGAGAATGTAGAGGGCGTCGGCGCCGGCGGCGGACTCGGTGGTCTGGGTGGTGGAAACCAAGTATGAAGTGAGAGTCGAGCAAGGTCAGACGTAACTTGACGATGACGGTTCAAGTCAGCTTTTGAGCCTACAATATAGATAATGAGATCGGGAGAACAATTCTTCTTCAATTCTGACGGAGTGGTGAACGCTGGAAGACTTGATCGAGGAAGCAACAGGCCACGTACCTTCCAGCCAACCTCGGACGTCATCAAAGCTAGCAGCATTGGTGATATCATACAACAACAGCGCAGCGTTGGCTCCACGATAGTACATGGGTGCCTATAGATATCCATGTCGGCATAGCCAGCAACACTCACCAGGATCCACTCACCATGCTACGAAATCTCTCCTGGCCTGCTGTATCCCACAACTGTAGACGAACCTTGATACCATCAACATAAATCTTCTTCGTGACGAAAAGAGCACCAGTGGTGGAAGTTGTGTTCTTGGGATCAAACTTATTTTGGGTATATCTGTGCAACAGGCTGGTCTTGCCCACGCCTATGAATGCAACGAGGCAACATTCAATTTCAACTGCACTCAGCGATCCCATAGAGTGTACTGCGACGCTATCCACGCACCTGTGTTGCCCATAATTACAATCTTGGCGTCAATGCCGTGGTCATAGCCTGATTTGCTGTACGAATTCATACGAGGATAGGCCGTCATGGTAGTGAGCCCACCGCCTGAATACGCGACGGCGCGGCACAGGACGAAGAGTGAAACGAAAGGAAGGGAGCGAGCAGTCCCAGTACTTGTATTAGCAAAAGAGAGAGCTAACAGCTCAGCCTGTACGGCACAGTACCACGGAGACGTGCCGGAACTGGATGCGGAAGCGCGAACGTGCGGCACGTGAGCCCACGTGCACCGTGTACTGCGTCGGAACTCGCATCGTATCCGAGATAAGATTCCTTTGGCTTTAGAGTGTACGTAAAACGCGCCCAGCGAGTGATTCGGCGGCCATTGCGACATGCAATGCATCTCATTGGCATGCAGTGCAAAGAGACCTGGTTGCTCATAATGGGGGCATGCGGATACATTTTGCTGTATGTGCGATAGCATATCATAGTCTCCTAAACACGGTAACTTGGCACTCCCTACTCCTGCACCTGCACCGGGAACTCGAACACGACGTCTTTCCCTGTCAGGCGACGGTATACTGAAGAGAATGAGTCCAGCTTGTACTCAAGCGACGTAGCATCTTTCGAGTCCAGGAAACTATTGGAATGGTCTCGGTCATTAAACCGCCTCGGTCATTAACGATCACACGCACACTTTGAGAAGTTTTGAGCCGTCCGTGGCCACTCGCGTCCTCTTACCAACGATCTCCGTGGGGAAAACAAGGTCCTCGAGGATCTTTTCGTGGACATTGGTAAGAGTACGGGAGCGAGGCCTCTTCTGCTTGACCCGCGAGTTGCGAGTGGGCTTGCGTAGCATCCTGCGCTGTGCAACAAATACGACATGACGATCTGAAAACTTCTTCTCCAACTCCCTGGTTAGCCTGCAATACCCATCAGTCAGAAGTTTCAACGTGACCAGACTATAGCGTACACATACCTCTGCTGCACCTTGTGGAATGCTTTCAATTGCGGTACAGGGACAAAAATGACGATGGCCTTCTTTCCACCACGAACATCGACTTCACGAGCTGCGGAAATCTGCAGCGGTCGTAGTTCTGACTTAAGGTCAGGGACGTTGTTTTCGAGGTCGATCAGGGCCTGCGCGACGCTAGTTTCGGTCTCATCGGGAGGTGTGGTAGGCGCATTCGCGGTACGGAAAATCTTGTGCTGGACGGACATCTTGAAGTTTGAAGTTTGAGTGCCTGTGGACAGATACGGAATCGCAGTCAACATCCGTCCCTGCACCAATCCATCCATCCCTTCTCGCACTTCCTCCAGCCCGACCAGTCCCTCTGTACACGTCCCACCATTCCAACAGCGTGCACCGACAAAATTTTAAGTAAAACGTGTACTCACCGTGCCTGCCGCCGTCGTCGAGTTCGGTGGAGTTGATCTTGCTGCTTGCTGTAGCGACGGGCCACGGGCATGGCACGTGAGCTCTGGTGAGCTGCGCAAAGGACCCCGTGTACTAGATGTGACGGCGTCTATCATTCACATCGTGACCGGACGCGTCGACGCCGGACGGTGAGCTGAGCACTGGCAGAACGACGCGTCCTTTATTGCAGCTCAGGCATGCTCGTCATCTTCCACAATGGCGAAATCACTTCGAGTACCAAAGCTCGATCTCTCCGCCATCCTCGCGTCCCAGAATCCGCAGATTGACCTGAGACTCGAAGCTTACGAAGTTTCCACGCGCAACTTCTTGAAAGCGGTTTCCAGCTATACTCAGAGAGCGCTAACAGAAATCACCAATCGCAAGAATGGGCACTTAACAGATCGAAAGCGTCTGGTTGAAAAGCTTCAGCATATTGAAGCAGAGACAAACCAATGCAAGATCAGGGAGATAGAGTTGATTAAGAGTGCGTTTGTGCCGCGTTTCAACGATCCTAATTTGTATTTACTCTGGACGAATAGTTCTGGATAGAGAACGGGAAGAAAGGAAAGAGGCGGAGGCTTCCGTTTCTTCCTTCAGACGTCAACTTGCGAGCATCAAAGAGAAGTGCGTTGTCCTAGACGGAGAGGTAGAGCAACATCGTATCATTGCAGCAAATCTTCGCCGAGGTTCGTACCAGTATCAAAAAAAGAGACCTGGTAATTTACCGATTTTAGAGAGGAGCAGGGAACGGGCATTGCTTGATTCACATGCTGCGCAGGTAGCCCCAGAGCTTGCCGACTGTGAGAGGTGGCTACAATGCCATATAGAAGGGATTGACAAGGACAAGATTCTTATCCGCTTCCTGCGTCTGGATGCTGCCGATTCTACTCGCGAGTTCAGCTTGGTAGTCGACGTTTCCAATCGCTCTTACAAAGGTCTGTGCTCGGCAGCCTGGGACCCTACCCCATATTGACGCCCTCATAGTACCCACGACAACCCCCTTTCTGCCCACCCTCCCTATTCTTCTCGACGAGCTGAATGAGACGCGCGATATCTATACGTTTTTCAAGCAGGTCAGGCAATCTTTCGTTGAAGTTGTGCAGCAGGGGAGATAATGTATACCATCGGTAATGTATCGTTACATATTCTGGTCTCCATCTTTTGTATTACCACTCTTTCGGATGGCTTGCTTCCTGGAGTGAATGCTCACGATGCATGATCTCTGCTCTTCTTAAATTCATCCACCCATCGCTTCTCAACATCACCTTTCGGTACAACAACGAAAGTCAAGCTCCCATCTTTCAGCTCAAGCCCATCCTTTGGTTCCCCATCCTTGTTCCCCGCTGTCTTGAACACATCTTTCAATGTCATCTTTTTCCCCACCTTCAGAAGTCGTTTCCGATAAGTCATAGCATACAGCGTGAGCTTGTCGGTAACATATTCCGCACTGCGATCCCATTCCGGTGCCGGAGCTTCTGGTGGAAACATTGTCGCTAAATGTGCGGAGAATGGTGTGTCCTCTACAAAGTGAGATATGACATCCGAGGTGGCATATTGTGGATACAGGAAAAAGACAGGGAAAATCAATGTACTATATGCAGGATCTTCCGCGTCGAACGCGGGGGAGTATGGATTTGATGAAGATCCATCGGCGCGTGGTATTACAACGAGATTGCGTTCCTTTTGCCAGGCTGTCAGTAAGCTACAGAATGAGCGAAAGATCTCTTCACGACCTTGAATGCTTCCCGTAGGCGTCGCTTTTGTTCCGTCTCCTTCCGTATTCTTTCTTGCCGCTCCCTCTCAGCTTTGTCCTTGGTTGCTTGCCTTTGTGTGGCCTTGTCGCGCAACACATGTATGTCCTTGTTCCCGTGATCAAATTGTAGACAGCGATTACAACAGTCGATGGCTTCCTCGAATCGGTCTAGGGCCATCAATGCTGCCGCGGAACGATAGTGGGCCTTCGACGAGCGAGTATTGATTAGGATAGCCTTTGAACAGTCCTTCAAAACCGTGCCATAATTCTCTTAGGATGCCTGTCTGTTAAGATGAGCTGTAGCAACGATAAATCTGGACGCCTCACTCAATTCCAAGTTACATGCAGCTCGATTGCACAACAAAGCCTCCAATATAACTGGATCCTGTGGTTTTGCATCTATTCCTTGCGTGTAGAACCCGAGAGCTTCACGATGCCGCTTTCCTTTGAAGTAGTCGTTCCCCTGTTCCTTGAAGTTCTGGGCGATCTCTAAAGACACGCTCAACTGAGAGCTTGTCGTATCGCAGACCGACTCACCATCTGGCGTCCCTTCAAATGCCAGACTCTGTAAAGCTCCAACAATTGGATCATCTACGGCATCTTCGGGTAGGGACTTCATAAATAGCGGAACGGTATCGAAGGCAGTCAACTTGTCCTCCACGGGTAGAGGCTGGGGCCCCAGAAGGGGAGCTGTTGAGACCATTATAATCTCCTACTCGGTTTGAGAGCAATAATAGCGATGGGAGAAGGGTCTGTATGTGGAGGGGTTCAGGAGAGCAGGAAGTGAATGCAAGAATGACTAAGTACATACAAAGTTCTTAACATGATTTTGCGGTACTACCGTGATCGAGATCAGCTATCGAGATTGGCACTAGCAGGTGACGGGAACCGGACCGCCGTTTACCAGTGCGGTTTGCTGCAGCTGACCTTTCTGAGCATGGCATATCTTTCCGGCCCCACATACACTGTAGTTGTCATTGTCGACAGCCATGCAGGTCAGAGGCCTAGCTGCAGCGTTGAATAGTAACGGGCAATTCAAGTATAAGGCACGAATTTCACCCCGGACTTCTGACAGCAAGAAATTTACTTCGTAAAATACAGATCCCGGAGTTCGCAGTCGATTATCTCGTCGTTGGAGGTGGTAAGACATCATAGTATATTTGTATCTAACCATGGTTCATTTGTCCTTGTAGGTGTCATTGGGCTAGCTGTTGCTAGGCAACTGGTGCGCCGCTTTCCAACGAAATCCACATTTTTGGTAGAAAGGCACGATAGAGCGGGAGAGGAGACGAGGTATGACCTCATTTTGAGCGAAAGAGTGCTGAAATCGACAACTGAGATAGCTCGCGTAACTCAGAAGTAGTTCATGCAGGTTCGTTACCGGCTCATTGTACTGGTACAACTGATACAGACGGGGTCATAGGTTTGTACTATCCTGCCGATTCCCTGAAGACACGGCTCTGCCTGCGCGGTCGATTTCTCATGTATATGCACTGCAACAAGCACAACATCCCATACAAAAAAGTAGGCAAATTGGTAGTAGCCCGGCACGACCAGCGGCCGTATATCGAGGGGCTACAAGCAAAGGCCCAAAACCTTTGTTGGCCTGTGCATTCGTCATCAGGTCTTCAGAAGACAGCAGCACTACCCACACAGCTGATAGACGGCGACCATGCACGCGAATTGGAGCCGGATCTCTCGACAGATATCGTAGCTGCACTATGGAGCCCGGAGACGGGTATTATTGATTCGCACGCATTTATGGCAAGTCTCGAGAAGGAAATCGCTGAATCCGAGGGTGGAGAACTCGTTTATCAGACACGGGTCGTGAGGGTGGATCCACACCAAGAGGCTCGTGGATGGGTGGTGCAAACGTTAACTGGCAAGAGGGATGGGGATGGAGGAGACGCAATACTGGCTGGAACTTTAATCAATTGTTCAGGGCTCTCTGCGCCCTTCATTCTCAACGCACTACTTCCGAAGGAATCCCGCATACCCATGTACTACGGACGCGGATCATATGCGTCATACAAAGGTCCTGGAGTCAAGCACATCTCGCATCTTATATACCCGTGCCCTGACACCGGTCGCACCGTCCACGGTTTCCAATCGTTGGGAACACACCTCACTCTCGACCTGCAGGGCAAGATTAGGTTCGGACCTGATCTCGACTGGTTGGATCCGCATATCGAGGGCAACATCAACGACCCAGACTTTTGGCAGAAGTGGCTCATTCCTGATGATTCTCGACTGGCCATGATGCACGCCGCTGTGAGGGAATACTTGCCCGAAGTCTCATTCGAAGGCTTCCAGCCTGATTACTGCGGTGTGCGACCAAAGCTGGTTGGCCCAAAGGGAGGATTCAGGGATTTTGAGTTTCGAGCCCATTATCCGGAAGACTTTCTAGGCACATTTAGGGGGAAGGACAAGCGGCCCATGATTACATTGCTAGGCATCGAGAGCCCCGGGCTAACTTCGAGTCTTGCGATAGCGGAGAAAGTCGTAGAGGACATACTTATCAGAGAAAATGGGCATGTAGCGCAATAGATTGCACACACTACATCAATCTATGATCCTCGAGCGGTCACCTTTGGCTCCCAAGCCTCATACTTCGGTTTCGTGGTATTATATGCCCTGTAAGCCCCTCTCGTCCCAGTAAGGTTTTCAATCCATGGCTATAGTGCAAGCTTATAATATAGGACAAGGCAATTAAAAATGAACGACGTACAGCTTTCCATGGAGGCGACAAGTTCTGCATGACGCGATCTTCCGGTGGTGCGTCCCGACGGATGTGCTGCAGCCAAGCATGCCATTCTGCTGGGACTTGGGTAGCGTTGAAGTCGTGCTAGCACACAACAAGGGAGTCAAGCACAGTCAACTGCATATCCAACTGGCTAGCAAACGGACCTGCGCAAAGTCAACCCAGCGATGACGTCCTGGGCAATCCATTAAAGCACTCGGTACGACGCAGATAACAATAGTACACACCTGGGACCTCTTCTTCAGGATTCAAATTCTCAAAGTAGCGGTTGCCAAACCTACAAGGCTTGCATCAGTATTCCTTTACCCGAGCGGGATCAACATACTGGTCTTTTCCTATAAATTTCCCCGACTTAGCATCTCCTATGTACTGCATCTGGTGCCACCATTCCTTCAAGCCCACACGTTGTATAGACCTAACCGTCCGCGCCAAAGAGACCATGGGGACTTATGCTATAGAGTAGAAGATATGACTGGTGTCAAGACTGGGTGACCGGTCGCGTCCGCAAGTTGGCGCTTGACAGTTATATAAGCGAGCCAGCACTCACAGCGAGCGCCTATACGTACGCGGTGGCTACTGTGTGCTCAAAGCGCTCATGAGTCCCTGCTCGACCCCGGTCTACCAGTGAATTGCGAGCTCATCTGTCTATCTACCCTGGTTCCTCATATCCTCTGCAACTTGATATGATTCGCAGTACAGCGCACTCTGCATATATTCTACGGAAGTGCTTGAACCAGCTCATAGCTGTTCGAGAGACTCTGCCATCTCGGTCGGTTTCTACGTTAAGAGTTGACTCTGCCAGTAAACCCAAAGTTCCTATCCTCCCGAAGAACCCGAAGCGAGGAAAGCCATCTTTATTCCTCCATCCCAGTGGAAAACATCCCAAATCTCATGCCAAGCCTATCAGAGGGGAACTCAAGAAACCTCTGCGCCCTCATGTATTCTCCAAACGACTCCTCGCGTTGTGCAAAGCCGATAAGATCGAAGAAGCAGTATCCACACTTCAGAATGCGCCTCTTGACGCACAGAATACCATTGTGTGGAACACTCTAATTCGGGAGGTTTTGTTAAGGAAGCGATTCAAGCTTGGGTACCAGCTTTATGTGGATGTACGTAATCATCGCATTTTGGCTGCAGTTTAGCTGAACTAATGCACACAGATGAAACGGCGCGGGTTCTCTCCACGGACGAGTACATTTGTGACTATGCTCAATCAATATGCGACGATCGAGCAGTGGTCTCAGCACACGAAGCAGCTTGACAACGTGCACACCCTGTTCGAAAATTACATTGATCACGTTGAACAGGTCAAGGAGCATGAACCCAATAGTCCGGAGCTTGATAACTCGGTATACGTACCTTATTTCAAGATCCTGGGCGATGCTGGCGAGTATCAGAAAATGTTTGATATCTACTATGCTATGCCCGACCATGGCCCTTTGGCACCGACTCACTTTACGTTCACCGCACTCATCAACGCTATTTCGTGCCGCAAACCAGCTTCCAACGGGGCAGAGGCTCTTGCTGAGGTGCGCGCCCAAAACGCCTCCGATGTGAGATTGCTCTGGAGGCAAGCAATCAAGCACTCTGAGAGAAATCCACAATTCCAAATCGACTCACACTTCATGGCTCCTGTACTGGGTGTCCTGGCATTAGGTCGTCCAGCGGATCAGCTTTTCGCGTTCGATATTATCCGCGATTTCACTGGCCTGGCTAAGCCAGGGGAAGACGCCAAGCCTGCTAGAGTACCTTTGACGCCCTACGTTCTCACCGAAGTACTCTGGCTCTGCACTTGTTCGAAAAAATACCGGCTCGCGATCTATTATTTCTGGCAAGCTGTGGAAAGCATGTCCCCTGAGGATATCGCGCGGCCTCATTTCGATAACATGCTTAGAGCGCATGTAGGTCTCACTATGATGGGCGCTTCCCAGCAGTCCCATAGAGCCGTGGAGACTTTGGAACGGATGCTGCGAGAGGCCGCCACAAGACCAAATTGTGAGAACTGGAGGCCTTCTCTATCGACATTCACGTTGGCTTTGGCCACTTGCTGGCGCGAAGGCGATTGGGTTAGCGCAACAACAATCTTTGAGCTCATGACGGGCTACAAAGCTGAAGACTTTGCAGATGGCGGGGATAATGGTCCCCGTGTGGAGTCGCCACAGATGGAGAAGCGTTCCAAGGGGCGGAATATTATGCCGGGCATGACTGCTATGTCACATCTGGTTCGAACTGCCTTGGCTTCTTGCGACCAGTCGAACATGCGGCAATGCCTACGGATCGTTGACCATCTCGATGTCACTCAGCTTATGACAAGCGACAAACCCAAGAGCAACCTGCAAGGCAAGGAAGCCATCTTGGCTTACGACGTCAAGGATTCACTCTATTTTGTCACAAAGCTAGCGAAGGACCTCATAACTCTCGTCGATGAAGTGGTGCAAAGAGACGTACAGCCCAACCTTTCTGCAGAAGAGGCGCGGTGGCGAGAAATGAGAAATACAGCGAAGAAGTTGCTGCGACGACACAGCGGATCCACACGAACCCCATTCTACGAGTCGCAATTACTAGGCACCGAACGTAGTCTTGCGGCGACCGATAGTGCCGTAGAACAGGAGCAAACAGTCCGGCGGACACAACGATCTGCAACCTTTGTCAAGCGTGATCTACGTATGGGACCCGGCTCATTCTGACGCTCATTAGTCCGATTAGTATGTTGAATGCCACATACAAGTATCGTAGATATCAGCAAGTTATATTAGAGCCAAGTACTACTTCACACTAGAACGCCGCAGAAATGAGAGCACTGTCCGTCCACTAAATCGTATAGGTTCGTACGCCTCGTATATGAAATTCCGGCGCAATGTCCACAGCCCACAAAGTAATCAAACACAGAAGGAGTAAGAGGATTCAACCTATGCCACAGACTTAGGTCGCTCAATGATACTTGGTGAACGTAGTCCCTCGCCCTGGTAGCCCGGCCTAGAGAATGCCGGTGAAGGAGGAACGAATGAGTCCTCAGTTAGCGCCATTGAAACCGGTTGGTATGCGTGTGATGGGTCACCACTCATCAGTCCGTACGTAGACATTGTTGTCATCGGCATTGGACTGGAGCGTCCAGGTGTCTTACGCGTGCGTGTCCGGCTCCGTCGCCGCAAGAAGTATACGACGCCGCCGGCAATGATTGCGATGAGGAGCAGGGCGTTGAACGCCATGAGAGCGAGTACGGCGGGTAGGAATGTGCTCACTCTATTGAGCGAGCTGACCAAATCATCTGAGAGCGACACAGTAGTCGATCCGGACGCATCACTCGAGACGTTGGCCGCGTTGTAAGTGATATTTTCGGGTGTGCCGCCACGGATGGAATGAAAGGCAACAGAGGCCTCATCGGGGTCGACGAGAGGGAGGAGTTTGATGTAAGGGTTACCACGGTTCCCGGAAGAGTCATAGTCGCCGAAATCGTAGACCGTGTAGACGGAACGAAGGACGTTGTCACCTATGAGCCAATCGCTACAAAGGATGACGTCTGTCACTAGGTAGTACAATACTCACCACCATAAATACTTACAACTGTCCAGCGCCTACAGACACTGTTTGAGGAATGAAAGTGCCTACACACTTTGAAGTGTCGGCTGGGTCTTGAGGCGTCATATCAAGAGGGTTGATGGGATAGACTGAGTCACTGGAGGAAGCGTCATGCATGTCAAAAACAAATATTAATGAGAAGGAAGGACATACCCGAACTGCAATGCAATGTCAACCTCGGCGTCGCAAGGAACGACCCACTGGCCTAAAGATGGCTCATAATTTGCACCAGACACACCCCCATAGATGGCGTTGCATATCTCAGTTGGTGCATACCTGAATGGATTGTATCTTGTGAGCCTTTACGCACGATCTGATAGTATACTCAGAGACGCACGTGTACGAGGTGCCACTATCAAGGACGACAACAGCCCTGTTTGAGGGTGCACCGGAGACTGTAGAGGATACTGTGACCTCCTCATCTCCTACCAGAAGAGCGTCTAAGAGTACGCTCCATCGAGTGGGATAGCTCTCCGGCCATGTTGAGATCGGATAACTTTTGTCGACAGCAGTATACTTTGGGTCATATTCACCTAGTCCAAGCTTATGTCTTAACTTGCTGTCACCATTAAACACCACGAACCTATTGAGAAGAAGCCCTGGACAGTATCGTCGGGATCGGCATCGTCTTGCAAGGAGAATGAGATGAAGTTGGGCTCGCTCTTGTTTTGCGCAAACGCATTGTAGAGAAACGTGCGACCGGTTGAGGCGCCAGTTCGGTTGACTAACGCATCGACAGTAGATAATGAGTCAAAGCCAAGCCCGATGATCCCGTCTGCGCCGTATGAGAGAGCCGGGTTTGACGCGTCAGAGACGTCCATAAACGCTTGCGATGCGACCTCGACCCTGTGCAAAGTCAATGATTTTGATATCAAGGTGGTGATGGTCCGAACGCACCCCGCGAACTCGACAGTGCCGTAAGACACATTTCCATAGGCCCAACCAATGCCATACTATGATGTATAACGTAAGCTGCTCCTTCCATGAATAAGTACGAAGCCAAGACAACTGACGGTCATATTGTAAGTAATTGACTGCCGAAGATTGGGCCGGTATCAGCGAGAAGCGACGCGGTACACACGCAGGAGTATACTCACCGATACATTAGTGTGGGGGATTGGACTCGAAGGGGGTTTCACCCACAGATCTGAAGATCCAGTATCCAATTGCACGGGGTATACTAAGTGGCGCAAATTGGGCAGGAAGGGGTGAGTGCGCCATGTCTGTCAAATAACGTTGGTGGAAGCATACCGGCTCCGGCCAGGGTGATCTAATAATAGCCTGTTATGCGTACGAGCACAGGAAGAAACGAACGGACACTCTCACATTGGCAATGTATAGCAGGTCATCTACAGTGCTGCTCGTCCGAGATTGCTTTAGCCGCCCCGCGCATGCAGGACTGGCGAGACACTCACGTCAAGTCTAATCCGTCATTGCTACCGCTCGAGCTGGTTGCTGCATCTACAACAGGGCGCGCATACGGGACCGTTCCACCTCTCCGCCGTAACTGGTGGTGACCGTCCAGCTTGTGCCTTGTTATCGGGACTCTGATGGCATTGGACAAGCAGACAGACAAGGAGAAAGCGAAAGGCAGCGACAGAGCATGAGACCTCATGACGACCGAGGCAAGTCAGCGAGTGGGAATTAAAAGAGTGACTATGAAGCTGGATACAAGGTCGTTGGTACTGGGGCTCTGTTGGCTGTTTAGGCCTGGCAGGATAGAAGGATGGCTGTCCGCCTTATCGTCGTGGGAACGGTTTGATCGCTGTATGTAACAGCGTGCGGATGCGATTTGCTGTCGTGGCCAGCGGTGGAGCGCAGCGTCGTAGTCGATGTCGGCAATCAGCCCAAGGGGCTCGACACTTGCATACCGGTCGTGGCCACTGGAAGGTTGATATCGAGCGAGGGCACGTTCGGGTCTTGCCTGGGTTCTGATGGGATCTTGTGGACCCGTGAGCGCGAGACACGTCCCATCCGTCGTCCGACGCCCGACCTGTTGTTCGACCATCACCGCCACTGTGTTTCCTCCCCGCGGTGTTGTCGAGCTCGACGGCCAGACGCGACAAAGTCTACGCTCGTCGTTGCCACTGGTCATCTGGACATCCCATGACTTGATCGGAGAGTATGCACGTGGGCGCGTGTACGACTTTCCGACGTCTTCGCGCCCTTGCTATAAAGCCACGGCAGTGAGACTGCCTTCTCCTCTCCACCCCTCTCTCCAACATGGCACCTCCCGCTTCCAGAAGCGCGATTCGACGGCTGCTGAATGCCGCTCAACACACTGCTTGTCCATGCCATGGCTGCCGTGCCGGAGGTGCGCATAATCCCCTGCAAGCAATCAACCAAATGAGAAAGCTCGCAACACCGGTTGACGTGCTTCCGGTCGAGAAGGAATACGCTTTCGAGGTGAGTACTGCAGCAAGAACTCGTTGGTAGGAAGGTGCCATGCGAACCAAGTGCATCGCTTCAGGTTGCTGCAGCCAACTTGAGATTCGGGGAGGGCGTCACGCGAGAAGTTGGCATGGACCTCAAGAACATGAAGGCTCGAAAGGTAGTCTCTGACAACCCTATTCATGCTACGCGCTGAATGACATTTCTGTCAGGTTGGCGTCTTCACCGATCCCATCGTTGCCAAACTGCCGCCGGCCAAGATGGTGAGCGCTGATGGTTTACAGTCCCGAAGCGAACAAACCTCTTAGCTTTCTATTAGGCTATTGCGTCTCTCGAGTCGCAAACTGATCTACCGTTCGTAATCTATGATCGTGTTGTTGCGGAGCCCACGGAAGCGAGTTGGCGAGATGCGATTGCATGGGCTCGAGCAAACGACTGTAGCCATTTCTTAGCGTGCGTTCGCTAACAACGTGCGTGACATCAAGAACTCGGCTGACTTATCGTTATTTTCAGTGTAGGAGGAGGCAGTGTAATGGATACAGCGAAAGCCGCCAACCTGTATGTCAACTGATGCAACTGAGTGTTTGTTCTTATCCTCTCCATCCAGATTTTCAGTATATAAGGATGCTGATCTATTTGATTTCATCAACGCTCCTGTTGGCAAAGGGTTGCCTATTACCGAAGCTCTTCGGCCGCTCATTGCAGGTGCGGAGGCTACGCGCCCTCATAAATACTGATATTTTACATGTCTCTTCAGTGCCAACGACAGCTGGTACCGGTTCGGAGACGACTGGAACTGCCATCCTGGACATCACGTCCATGTCTTTCAAGACTGGTATTGCCAATCGCGCTATGAAGCCGGTCCTCGGTATCGTTGATACTCTCAACACTCGCTCATGCTCAAGAGGTCAGTCGACCGCATTATTTGCACGATTATTACTGATATGATCACCCGCAATCAGAGCTCCATATCAGCTCTGGGCTCGATGTGCTCTTCCACAGTCTCGAAAGCTACACGGCTATTCCGTAAGTCAAGTTTTCGAATTCTCTATGGGCTATAAATTTAAAATTCGCATGCAGGTATACAGAGCGAATTCCCCGACCATCCAACCCCAATCTCCGCCCTGCATATCAAGGCAGCAACCCTGTCGCAGACATTTTCTCCATGTGGGCTCTGCGCACTACGGTTGAATGTCTGCCACGTATTTCGAAGAATCTGGACGACTACCAAGCCATGCAGCAGATGATGTGAGTGCAAACTCACGGGAGATTCAGAGTAATCCTGCTTCACATTTGATGCTAGGCTGGCTGCTTCGTTCGCTGGTATTGGATTCGGAAATGCTGGGGTACATCTGTGTCACGGCATCAGTTATCCGGTATGTCGATTTTGTTGTGACTTCAGCAAATCTGACATTCGTGATGTTGCAGATTTCTGGACTCAACAAGCAGGGGCCAAAGTACAAGTATGCTGGATATGATGTGGATCATCCTATCATTCCCCATGGTGTCAGGTTTGTTGCACCCTACTTGCAATCGGGAACTAGTCTCATCCGAACTCTCAGTGTCGCACTCTCTGCTCCTGCTGTATTCAACTTCACGGCACCTTCCTCGCCCTCACGCCACCGCGAGGCTCTAGCGATCTTCCATGGGACAACTCCCGCCGATTCCAGCATCTCTGCCATCCCAGACTCAGAGATCGGTGCGCACTTGTTCGAGGCGATAGCACGTTTTCTTGACAACCTCGGAGTACCCCGCGGTCTCAAAGCTGTTGGCTACACGAAAGCGGATGTAGCCAAGCTGGTTGACGGGACGATTCCCCAAAGACGAGTCCTGGACCTCGCCCCAGGCATCGGAGATGTGGCAGGAGCAGATGGAAGGGAGCATCTGACGGCGATCATCGAGAGCTCGCTTGAGTATTAATTGAAGCATTCGCATCGTGTTATCTCATACCTCAGGATGAAAGTAATGCTATTTGGAATCGGTGTTACTATGACGTGCTAGTCGTGAAAATCTGTATTATTATGCTGAACCGCGAATCGCGTACGCCGCGCAGAATACGACTCGGAGCCGTGTCAGTAACTGGCGCTTACGAACTATAGTTCGATCATCGAGTCACTGACACGGTCCACTTATCGTATGGAAGGGGGGCGCTCTTGATGCTGCTCGGTCGCAGGTCTTTCGTTCCACCATATCGCACAGTACATATTTATTCGTTCTATTTATCCTGGGCCAAGAAAAACATGTCGACCAGAACATATAGGGATGCTATTGACAATCTCAACACCCTCCAGTCTAATGCTGCAACACTCGATGCGGCTCGTGCCAACGGAGGTCGGATAAGCAAAGTCGCGATACCGGAGATGTTGGAGTACCTGGGAAGGATTGGCTACACCGTAAGATTATCTATCTTCAGACAGTGAATGACGAAGTGACTATCATGCTTTATAGGCCTCTGACTTGAACCGGCTTAATGTCGTACATATCACCGGAACGAAAGGAAAAGGATCAACGTCTGCGTTCACGGACTCAATTTTGCGTAGAACCATGCCCCAGTGGAAAGTTGGTAAGCTCATATGTTTGACTATACCGTATGTGTTCCGACTCAATCGACAGGACTGTACACCTCCCCCCATTTGGTCGCCGTCCGTGAGCGTATACGCATAAATGGTGCTCCGCTCTCCGAGGAAGACTTTGCTAAATTTTTCTTCGAGGTTTGGGACAAGCTAGAGCAGAATGACACTGTATGTGTATATTTTTGATGTCAGCTCATAGTCTATTTGAAGCTGATACTGGCACCAAGCGAGCAAATCCTGAAACGTCGCGGATGCCAGCTTACTTCCGCTTTGTTACGCTGGTCGCCTATCATGCGTTTTTGACACTGAAGGTACGTTCTTGTGACTACTTTCTACTACTTCTGACTGACTGTATGAGAAGGTCGATGCTACCATTTTGGAAGTCGGTGTCGGCGGAATGTACGACAGCACCAACATTGTCCCAAGACCCATTGTCACTGGTGTTTCCTCGCTTGGCCTTGACCACACTACTCTGCTCGGAAAGACACTTGGAGAGATAGCTTGGCAGAAAGGTGGTATCTACAAGGTAGGCGGTGATTTGTCCCTCGATTACTTTATATCATACATAAAATCTAGGAAGGTGTTCCTGCACTTACAGTGGACCAGCCTGAAGAGGGGATGGCAGGCCTGAAGCAGCAAGCAGTGGACCGGAAGGTTAACATTTGTGTCCTTTGAATGCTTGCAATACTGATGCTAGCATCAGGCTTCTGAATTTGTTGTCGTACCACCAACGCCAGCGCTATCAAGTATCAAGCTAGGTATGTAATCAAAAATTTCCTGCAACGTCTCAGCTTATATGGATACGTATAGGCTTAGCGGGATCTCATCAATACCAGAATGCTAATCTCGCTGTGCACCTCGCAAAATTCTTCTTACATGCACAAGCTGGCATGCAAGAGAACACGCTTAGCGAGGCATTTGTTGAAGGTCTGAAGAATACAAAATGGCCTGGCCGATGTCAGACTGTATCAGATCCGAAGCGTGCCAATCTCACCTGGTTTTTGGACGGCGCACACACAAAAGAAAGTCTGGAATGTTGCATGCAATGGTTTGTCAGCCCTGACGCCGCACTAAGGGCAACCGGTGCTGAGTAAGTGTGGATTTGTTCTAGATCGCACTGTCATAACGTTAGTTTCCACAGGACGAGAGCGTCCCGAGTGTTTATCTTCAACTGCACTAATGGACGCTCCGGAAACACGCTCCTGGACATCGTTAACAAGGAGATCACAACTCAGCTACACCTCTTTGGAAATCAAATCGAGGCGGCCACCTTCTTCGACCATGTTGTGTTTTGCACTAACGTGACTTATTCGGACGGCGGATTCAAGGGCGGTGAGCCTAACTCCCCTGACTTGTTTGATCTGCGACTGACAAGATGGTAGACTTGACGACCTACGCTATTCCTACGAATGACCTTGCGCACTTACAGACACAGCATGATCTTGCATCGGCATGGTCATCTCTTGTACCAACCTTCCCTTCTGAGAACATCCATATCCTCCCATCCATCGAACACGCCATAAATTTAGTTCAACACCTCCATTCTGGGCCAACTGAACCCGTCGATGTTCTCGTGTCCGGAAGCTTGCACCTCGTTGGTGGAGTGATAGAAGTGGCTGGTCTCTCTGATGTAGCGCTCTGATAGCGAAAGCGGGATTAGAGATACTGATCGCTGTAAATTTCAACATATTTCTTGTTCGCCTTCAACAGGCGTTTTAATTAATACTCAAGATATCCTACAGATATCTTGAGTCACAGCTACGAATGTCTGGCTCTGATTCGACTTTTGGTAGGCTCTGCGCCAAAGAAGTGTATCGCCTAAATAAAAACGCATGAGCGTACTGACCGGTTCCGTAGCAGGGGAATTACCTGCTTATCCAAGTATCTACGGGTCCGTAGCTTTAGCTGACCCTGTCTATGACTGGGCGCCAGACCGGCGTCCGCTACGATCTGTAGGAATACGTCAAAATGGACTGGCTGGGTGTCGGTCCATTGTATGCTATCAGAACGATTCACGATCAAACTGGCTATAAAGACACGGCGTACCTCGTAACGCAGAACCTGGAGATGTAAAGTGTGGTTCTTTAGAATTGCCTCTTGAAGCCTACTCTCGAACTCTGCCTCCGCAATCTCTCGCTCATCTCCTTGCACACATTCCTCTGTCGTGTGCGTTTTCTTTTTCGATCGCGGTTTTCTTGCCTTCGCCGGTTCTGACGAAGCAGGTGTAGATCGAAGATTAGGAGTTTGTGTCGAATCAAGGCAAGTAGCCGCAGTTCCTTTCATGATCCATGATGCGTTAGATGGGTCAATCTTGTGTGCCGATTGAATGGACAATACCTAGCGATGTGAACGCGAGATTGGCTTGAGAGGGTCTGCTAATCAAATACTCGGGTACAAAGTGCAAGTACGCATCATCATTTTGCCAAACATCTTGATGACAATCCAAATCATAGGTAATGTCATCATCATAGTGATCTACAGGTCGCGCATCGGTATCGTTCGCAGTACGCAGACTGTGTGATTCAATCTCCGTCTCTGCGGAAGTTCGAGGAAATTGAGCTCTGGTGGAATTGCGACTAGAGGGAAGCTCCGGAGAAAGTTCGTTTGCGCTTGAATGCACAAATACAGCGCCCAATGCCTGTAGGTTATCAGTCTACCTAGAGCAGAAGCGAATGGATGTCACTTACGCTATCAACCGGGTGATGCAACAGGCTATTGCCTAGAGAAGTCTCTGCTTCATTTGAGACCAATCTGCTTGGCGCGAATACCTGCGTTACAGGGAGCAGATCGTCATTCTCAGGATTGACATTAATGGCCATTGCTAACTTGCTAGGTGCAGAAAATTGGGTGGCTGGAAAGACAATGGAACCGAAATTATGGTGTTTCGCCAGAACACTCTGGCCGAAAGTCTGTGTGGAGGGGGGGAGTTCGCCAACAGCTGTACAGGTCCCGACATCACGATTCGACGTGCTTGCCTCAGAAGTGCTGATCAGCTCTCGAGCGCGACCAAGGATATCCTTGCGTGTCTCGGTAACATGTCTAACAGTCGCAACAATTTGTCGACGCTTGCCCTTCCGCTTTGTGTTATCATCTTGAACTACATTTTCCAGAAAAGTCTTGGGAAGATCTTGCTTTTTTGTTGTGCAATTGCTAGCTTCTTTCTCAATCCTCGATGCTGCCAGCATGTCACGGATGAGAATAGTTACAGTAGAGTCTGTTAGTGCCTTCCTCTTCGCACAGGACTTAATATGCTTTAGCTTTTGCGCGAGAGTCTTCCTAGCGGTCCACGCGAGCTCACAGCAGATACACTTACGAAGCGCGCCCAAGTCGATCTCGGAGAATTCTGCCGTGAACGGGTGAATCATTACACGAGCGGCTTTTTTGAGGGGTCGCTTAGCTTGCTCTGTACTAACGACAGAATTTGAGCGAGACGTCGAAGCAGTGGATGTAACGGCTCGGGAAACCATGGGCGGCCTAGAATATGCAAAATGCTTTAAATTGAGTGACGGGGCGTTGGTATCATCGGAGCCGCTACATTCAGTTAGCTTGTCGATATCTCGTTGATAAGAAGACGAAGGGGGCCCATGTTGATCTGTGGGGCTGCCAAAATTTAGCAATCCCTTGTTCAATATATCGCGGAAAGATGGCCAGGATGTTTCGCTTGAATAAACTGTGAAATATCAGAGGCCATAAAGGGAGGACAAAAAAGACACGCGTTTACCTTCAGGCTCTACAGGAAAGCTTACGGCGGTCCTGGGCGTCTTCGATGCTCTATCCCTGGTATAAACCCTGTAATTTCCGGCGGACGGCACTGCTATATTCATCTTCTTATCTGAAAAGACATTCGTGAATTCTATTCTAGATGATGGATAATCATAAGATATACTGTACCTGTCAGGTCAATGACGTTATTCGTGAGGGGTCTATCTCGCGGTGCTGGGCGATCGTCACTGTCGGTCAGCTCGATGACCACTGGAGGCTCAGACAAAAAGTGTTTGTGTTTTCGCCTTTTCTTGTTGTCCTTCTCTTTCCGCCTGAGCTCCTCCCTCTCGGGCTCCGAGTCCGCGACAACCTCAGAGGCGGGTTGCTCTATTAGGCCCTGCGAGAAAGACGGTGGCATGGTGGAATGGGTGTATCTTGAGATGGTTATTCTGAATGAAAATGCGCAGGAATTGGAGAGGAGACGGTGAGAAGGAGCGCGTCCGCGGCCGAGCATCCGCTTCGAAGACAACTTGAACGTCACAGACAGACGGTGGGCAAACGCGTGACGCGCGACTCGACGCGCTTTGTTGTGACGCGTACGCGTTAGCGCCAATGCGGTAAGTTCCTGCCTGCCCTGCCCTACATCCACGCTTCATTTGGGATCTTGTTCGATTTTCTTCCTTGTACTTACAGCAGCAGTCTAACGTAGCAATCTATCTGTCGTCAGATATGCCGCAAATGAGTCATACTGGTGCTCGTTCTGAGACTTTATCTCCTGAAGAACTCTACGATGTTGTAGCCCGTGCCGCCTCCCAAGACCCTGCCCAGGTGCAAGCGTCTACAACGAGATTGAAAGAGATCATACAGTTATTTGGCGCATATGATACACTGCACGAAATCGCAGCGCAGCGGACAGTCCCATTAGCGGTTCGTCAACAAAGTATCATCCAGTTCAAAAACGCTGCGGTAGCCCATTGGAAATCAAGGAAGTGAGCGCGCAGCTATATTATCCTGCAAAACATCCACCTAACCGTGAATGTTGTAGGTATCTATCAGACGAACAAAGAACCCGTATTCGAGCACGTTGTCTTGCTTTGCTTGATGAACCAGATGACGTTGTGAGCGTCTCCGGTTCCGTTGAACGTTTACAGGTCATATTGATCCTAATGGTCTTACTTAAGATCGCAGACTGCAACGAGTACATCATTGGAAGAATCGCCCGTCACGACTTTCCCTTAAATTGGTACGTTACTTCAATCCATCCTTGTATCACATTCTCCGGTGCGATCCGCGCCCTAGGCCCAATTTAGTTCCCGACTTAATGGAAATCATCAACTTCAATCTGGAGGCGCGTTACAAAGCTGCAGGTCCATATTCTGCCGTGAGACTTCGTCGAAGCTTGGAGACTTTGAACGCTATTGCGAAGGAAATGGGGAGCGCCAAATTGCCGAGTGGTGTTAAAGCCATGGGCAGTGTAAGCTCAAGCTTTCAATTTAACACATTATATGTACGACTCATATGCGCCTAGTTGGTTGAGCAGTTACAGGTTCCCCTTCAAAATAATTATATAACCATCTCGACGTCATTCATGTCAATCAATCCTTCGACAATCAATCTTATTGGCACATCTGAAGATCTATTATTTGGCCATCTCTTGTTCAAATGTATCGTGAAGGTGGCGGTCTGGACATGGAACCGTGTCGTAAATCACAGTACGCCGAGCTTAGCGGCATGGGCAAGTTTATTCATTCTTCATGACTCATTTAACTCAACTCGGAGCCATCTATAGGTAGAGCAACTATTTCAGGCGTCTGCTTTGCAGCTTCGGACTCTTTCGGAACTCAGAATTGAGCTCCTCCTTTCACTGCAGGCTACATCGGCAGATGTACTTTCTCTGCGGTCTGTGGATATCCTCACTCGCCATGTTCGACTATTCGGCAAATTCTTTCGTCGCCTTCAACAACTCTCTATACCGCGATTCGTAAAGCTTCCGATGTGCACCGACTTGGTATTGTACTACTGGAGTAAAGTAGTGCAAGCCTCGGATACTCCTGCAGCTTATATTGCAGGTAATTCTAAAAATTTCTCCTAATGATGTGAGACTGATCGAGGTATCGATAGATACAGCATCAGCAGTATTCCCGGTCCGCTTTCTGGTGCAGGCTATGGTCCTTTTCAAAGAGAGTCTTCCACAGTGGGCGCCGGTGAAGAGAGATGGCACGCAGAATGCGCAAGGTATCTTGAATATCTGAGTAAGACAGTGATATTTCTGATCTATACTATTTGCTGTCCCAGCGTTATCTAAAGAGTTCGTAGAAGACGCTGTGCGGTTACTCGTCACCCGCTTCATACCCTTAAATCCGGAAGACTTAGAAGAATGGATGGCTGATCCAGAAGGCTGGGTAAACGTTGAGGAACAAGATAATGAGCAATGGGTATTCGAAGTTCGAGTGAGTCGTAAATCAGCGTCGCGATCATTTATCCCATACAATGCGTTTGACTTTGTCAGCCGTGTGCAGAGCGGGTTCTCATGACACTGGCCAATAATTACGCAGCGGACGTAGTTCCTCTCCTCGAGACGACATTCAAGCAGGTTGTTGGTAAGTCCGATCGATGAAACAGGTTTATCTTTCCAGTCATACTGCTTCTTCAGGTCAGCACCCCACTGATCTTCCTGGCGTCATTCAGCGAGAAGCCCTCTATTGTGCCATCGGTCGATGTGCTCATAGGATGAAAAAGGTCATTCCGTTTGAACAATGGCTGAGTCACACTTTAGTGCCAGAGGCGCAGGAGATGAATCCTAGGTTTGGCATGCGTTGACTGTTCTGGCAACAGACCCTGACGTTGTATCTGCTAGTTACCCCATTTTGAAACGTCGCATTGCATGGTTGATCGGCAAGTGGATTTCGGATATGTGTTATCCCGCGAATAATCCGACACTATGGCAAATATTACTGTATTTGTTACAAGACCGAGGTCCAGGAACAGATGAAGTCGTAAGACTCACTGCGGCAATCTCTCTACGGGAATGTGTTGATGTACGTAGGCACGCTGACAACGTTGGATGATGACTGAATATTTGCACAACTAGAGTTTGGAATTCGAAGTTGATACATTCGCACCATTCCTTGCGGGTATCGTCAGCGAGATGGTACGGCTGATTGGTGAAGCCGAAACATTAGAGAGCAAGCGCCGGATTTCTAGCAGTCTCAACACAATCATCGAGAGAGCTGGGACTAGAGTAAGTCTTGATGTTAAGCTGCCGAGGCCACTGATCTTCATTGCCATATAGATTGTACCGCTCGTCGGAATGGTTGCCGAACCACTTCCACATTTGTGTAAGCTGTGACCTTGGATAAAGGATGAAGTATCTCAATCAGGTTGCTCTCCTTCAGGGACAACTGCGGGAGAAGATTGGCTGTTCAAATCCTCTTTATTGGAAACACTCACCAACCTGATTAAGGTACAACGATTATGCACTCGTTATGTTAACATCTTTTACTTATTTGTCGCGCTAGTCCTCCAAGGAGCATTCGGTATCTCTGAGTAATCTTGTTGTCCCACTCGTCCGTGACAGCTTTTCGCCTGGGGTAGGTTGATGTCTGCCGCTGCATATACTTTACACTCTACTGACCCCTTGTAAGGCTCAGCAAAACTTAGATGAGGATGCCTTAATTCTGTGGCAAGCAGCACTTCGTGACACAATTACCATCGAGGGTGTGAATGGCGGGGCAGGTTTGATTGATCTCTTCCCCCTCGCTATATCATTGCAATCCGAAAATCTGGACCTGTTGGGTAAGATCATGAACATAATTGAGTCTTACATTTTATTGGATGCCCTCCAAATACTTCAAGTAAGGAAGACCTGTTTGTCTAGTTGAGACCTCATAGACCTTTTGTTATAGCGTATCGCTGTGGATATGTTCCGTGCCTTCCTACAAGCTATGAATCAAGCAACAGAGATCAATGTCATGCATATGGCGACAAGTTTAACATTGATCGCACAAGTTGCGCCGTCATCGCAATGGGGTGAAGCTTTGCATGTGTCCGGCCTATTCGCATTCATCTTGAAGATCCTCACTGACGAGGGAGACAAGGTATGTCCGACTTCATTCCCTGCATATACTTAATAATGCTGCATCGAAGGCCTCGACTGCACTCCTGACGGAATGCATATATTTGTTAGCTCGAATGGCGATTTCCGATAAGCAGATGTTCCTCCAGCTGATGTCCGCGACAGCTCAATCTCAAGATATAGCAGAGACAAAACTGTGGGAAGTTGCCCTAGACCAATGGTGGACAAGGGTATGACATGCAGAGAAGTCTTCTTTATGAATGAACGCTGACATTTCCATTATAGTTTGATAACATGTCCGAACCTCGTCTCCGGAAACTGGCTGCTATGGGAATTGCAACTTTGGTGTCAACGGGGCGTCCAGAAGTACTGGGCCGACTCTCAACGGAGATCTGTAACCTCTGGCTGGATGTCTTTAGTGAAATCAAAGAGTCTCTGAAGTCGAGCGAAAATGATTCTACGTGTGTGGATTTATCTTTGTGCGACACCGGGAAGTATTATACTGAGATATGTCATAGCGGATCACCCTTAACATTGTACTGGGACAAACCGTTGGATTCCTTTTACCAAGACTCAGAAGGGACGTTAGAATATCAACGCCGCAAAGCCGTACGCCAACCTATTTGCGTCAGGCTTGTGAACTGGTTAATCATAATTTATACAGTTATTCGACAATGATCCGGTTCGTACGACACAGCTTACGGAGTTCATCGCTGCTCGTGTGCAAGAAGCCGAGGTTGCATGTGGTGGATCAGCTAATCTCCAGACGTTATATCTGTCGAAGGCAGATCCACTAGTTTTGAAGCAAATCCAGGCCGAACTGATAGGCAGATAGAATAGAAATAGGATTTCGCTTAAACCGACTGTTTCATCTCTCGAACTGTCTTTCGACTTGTGTCATGCTTAGTTCCTGCATTGCTGCTCGATCTGTTGTCGTCCATTTAGCTCTTGCATATACTATAAAATCGGAAGAACCATCCAGTATACTATCATTAAACAGACCGCGCGATACCAAAAAAAAAAAATAAGCCTACATCGAAACTGTCAAGCTGACAGGCGCATTATCTGTTTTTGCCGAAGAAATTCATCAGACTGCCTTGTCCTCCCGCTTTCCCAGCAGCCTTCCTAGACTTGGAGCCACCCGATTCGCCGAAAGTTTTGCTCGATGTACGGTCGTCTGTCGTCACAGTTTTTAACTTGGCTGGCGTACTCTTCTTCCCTTTCGGCTTAGCTGAAGCTTCCTCCGCCTGGTCTTCGTCCACAGATTCGTACGACGAGTAGTCTTCCGTGACTGTTGTTCTCCAATGAGATACGAAGATAGAGATGATGTAATATTGGACGCACTAGTGTATCCCTTGTCATCGATCCGAGTCCGACTCTTTGTTATTCTCTTCTTCTTTAGGCCGTTTTTGCCGATAGGCACAACCTTCTTCTCTTTCTTCTTCTTGGGCTTAGTCTTGATGCGTTCGGGTTCGGAGTCCTCAATCATATCAACATCACTTTGGGTGTCCCCTCCTTCCTTGAATGCCGCATCGGGCTGTGGTCGAGATGCCATGATGACCTCGTCTGTCGCACAATAAACATACAACCACTGTGTTTATATCAGAGGACTCGCCATCATCGATGTCCATCATCGCCCTCACGCTCTTCTCCGCTTCAGACATTTCTTTTGATCTACCTTTAGCCCGCTCCTTTCTACCGCCAGTCGCAGGACGAGCGGGCATCTCTTCGTCTTCACCTTCATCGGACATGATAACGCCTTTCTTGACCTTCACGGTACTGGTACAAGATGAAGAAGCTCGAACCGCTCCACGAGGCTCAGACTCAGACTCAGATTCGGAAGGGAATTTTAATTTACGCTTCCTACCCTTTGATTAAAGATATCTCAGAATAACAGCTTGTTAAGTAGAACATGAATTACCTGCACTTCGCTTCTCGAAGATGTGGTCTCTTTATTCTTAATCAAAGGGTTTTGCTTCTGAGGCAACTTCGTGTTCTCTTCGTTGTCATCTTCCGAATCTGATTTGGCTGGTAGCGCAGACTGGCGTTTTGTAATCTTCTAACATGTTGAGCAAGAGGTAAATTACGATATAGCAATCACTGACTTTGACATCTGGTTTTGCTTCCTCAGACTTAGAAAATCCAGATGGGCGAATTGACCCCCCTTTTGACGACGCAGACTCTTCGCTTTTGTCGATCACAGAGTCTCTCTTTTCTTTCTCATTCTTCTTCTCCTTCCCACTACTCTCATCCTTCTTGGGCCTTGCCTTGCTCCAATTAAGCGTACCTGACGGCTTGGGCTTCGTCAGCTTCTCTTCCCTTTCTTTCCGCCCGTGCTCATCTTTGGACTTTTCTGATTTTGGCTCTTCTCCTTTGGATAGTACCTGCTTCAGAGGTACGTGCTCTTGCGCTTTAGGAAGAGTAACCGGAGGAACAAATTTGCCTATCTATGCAGTGAACGTCGATAAGAAAGCGACATCGCTGAGTGCAACATAACTTACGCGCACATGAGGCCCAGAAACCCTCCCAAGCAAAACCAATGACTCCGCTGGCGTCTTGGCATCTACCTCGTAAACCTTCTCGGATGGTTCCAAAACAAGACCAGCATCCTGGGATTTCAAGGGATGGACAATAAATTGGATATAGTGCAAGGGGTATGACAGTGAGAACGCACCACCAACGGTGCGGGTGATAAACTGTATATATGTTCCGAGAATATGCGAATGTATTGTGATTTCGCGGCTACAGTGCAGAATCCAATGAGAGAAATAATGATTGAGCCAGAGAAGCACACCTTCGAGATCTTTCTCTCCCACAAGTACGACCTTTGTGAGCGGAACCGTCTCGCCCATCTCATCCCGGTCTGATGTTGGATTCGAGTCCACGTTCATGTGATCGGAGTGTGATGTGATGCGCTTCGACCTAGCTTCACCCACCAAAAGAATGGTTGCATGGGCTGGATCCGAGGAGGACATCGAGGTGTGATGAAATTCTGCGAGGTAACTGTCGGCTTCCGTTCAGTAATTACAAGATCAATATCGAGAGCGCGCGCACTTTTTCGCACTATTGACGTGTAGATTAAGCTGACGACTAAGGGAGCGGAAGGTGACCTTCGAAGGATTTCAAGGTTAACATACTGTGCACACTGCATAGTCCTGATTCGTATTCACGCACCACGTTTCTTTCGATGAGAATTTGCTTGGTGAGAAAATCGGTTACTTTAGAATCCATGATGCCGAAAAACTATTGGGAAGGGTATCAAAATATCTACAACAACCCAACTGATTGTTTAGGAGTAGAGTAGTAATTGCGGAACTTACAAGTTGAAGGCACAATGCATGCGGCGCGTCAGTGCGCGTCGACTGTCACGGTGCGCCACGGTCACGGGGCCACACGCTGCTGTGACCATGATCATTTACGCGCTCAACGTACTTAGTACTGCGCTCACTGATTCCACAATTCCTTAGTAGTACCGGTACGTAAGTTGCCGATGCTTCACATCACACCACTGTGCTTGCAGATTAAGGTTTGTTACTCATTATCCAGTCGTGCTCACCAACCCAGCTCGCAGATTGATGATGCCACTCGATGCGAATTTTTGTGTCAGATGGAGCCACATAGAAGATACGCTAACCAAGGTTTTCTTACATGATGATATGTCACCCTCACTAACATCGTCGAAATTGTTAATATACACTGAGATTTATAATCTCGGGGTCGTTTCTCATGGCCTGGTACATAGTAGTATGACGCGTTTTTTAGATCGGTATGGCGAGAAGCTTCGAACAGTGAGCGTGCTTCGATTTGTTTTTAAATGAGTTAGACTAATTCAATCCACTCGGACTGGGAAGCGGGCTCAAGACGTTGTTGGTGCTGATTTTGTGAACCTTTTCATTGAGGAGTGGCATCGTTTCAGTAAAGCCATGGATTTTCTCCGCCGAGCATTCGGGTGTTTCGATCGTACATGGGTGGCTGCTCAACGAAGCGGGGAGGATGGTGATAAAGGGGTCTACCCAATATTTGTCGTATGTGTTGCGTTACTCTGCAGATGTGGTAAATGCTAATGCACATAGCAGCTCGCTTTCTATAAATGGAGATCAAATCTGACGCTGTGTGCACGGTTCGTCGACACCATCGTCCACCTTAATTATCACGAACGAAGCGGCTCCACTGCCATTGCAGAGCTTCTTTCAGAAGCTTTCACCACTTTGCAGTCGATACACACGCGTTGGGCAGAGTACGGACTCGATCACTATATCAGCCATCCACCTGGAGGGGATTTTGCTCAGAGTTTCGAAATGCCGCTTACGGCTGCTACACACAAGTATTACAAGATCGTGGCCTCCCGAATTACTGCTGGCTCCGGTATCGAAGAGCTCGTTTAAACAACAGAAAGCTGTCTGGAAGAGGAAATGTATCCTGGGCGATACCCCCCAGAGACACAGGTCAAGGTCTCGAATGTCTGCGTCAAATCTCTTCTCGGCGATCGTATAGAGGAGGTATCCGAGTATTACCAAATTCTTCGGAGCAATGGCAAGCACGGTCCGTTGCAGAGATTGCGTCTACTCTTCTACCGACTTCCTGAGACTTTCGAGTATCTACTCAAGCAAGATTTCAGATTCGCCGAGGCAAAGCTTGCCGAGCAATCTGGATGCGTAGACGACGCTGTCTACACATCCATGTTCGTCGATCTTGTCTCAACGATTCACCGACATTTTGAAGATATTGCCATGTCCACGTTCACTGCGTGCCTAAATCAAACTTGCAGAGATTTCGTAAATTGCACCAGGATAATATCCCGTGCATCTAGGCGACTCACGCCAGCAATGCTTGCCAAGCATATAGATGCGTTGCTGCGGAGAAAGGATCATCACGGGACCAGAGATCTACATACAGACATAGACAACGCGGTAGGGGTCACTCCCACTCTCATTCTTGAGCTGAATATCAACACTGGCATTTAGATGACACTATTTAAATTCGTTGACGATAAAGATCTCTTCCAGATATACTATGCGACGCTGCTGGCGAGACGTCTCCTGCGCAGAATCTCTGTGACAGACGATATTGAAGAGAGAATGATTGTCAAGTTTCAGGTTTTTTGTGGGGCTGAGTATTGCCGCAGTTTCCGCGAAATGCTGATCGGTAAACATCAATATACGAACATGTTAAGTGTCACTAAATATATGGTTGTAGACTTGGAACTAAGTCAAGACCTTACTCGTGAGTTTCGTGCCTGGCAGCTGCAAGGAGGCGGTGAATCGCCCTCGTTCCACGTCAAGTTGTTGAGCGCTAGACATTGGACGTCCCTCAACGTACCAGATATGTCATTCGGCATTCCCCCAGAGATCCTGCCACTGTACAACCGCTTCTCCACCTTTTACAGCCAAAAGCACCCCAAGCGCAGGCTGATGTGGTTGTGGGATCACTCGATGACGGAACTTCAGACCAACTGCTTTGACAAGCGATACAAGTTCTTGACTAATCCGATACAGATGGTTATGCTGCTGCAGTATAATGACCACGAAATTCTCTCCGTGGAGGAACTGCGTCGTGCTACCTCATTGTCGGCAGATGTTATCGACAGGATGCTTCTTCTCTTCATTGGTGCAAATATTGTGAAGTTGGAAGGGGATCATCAGTACCGACTGAATTTTGGTAAGTTCGGCTGCGGCTGCAGCTGCGGTTTCTGCTCAGCCAAATTTCGCACTTGATAGGATTTAAATCAAAGAAAATCTGCCTCAACTTGATCTCTCGCCTCTCGCCGGCGAGTACTGAGACAGAAACGACCGAAAAACTGGTTGTCCAGGAGAACATTGAGCTGCATAGAAAGAACGCAATTCAAGCCACAATAGTCAGGTGAGATAATAATGCAAGTGCGCAGCGCCTGCAAGCGTCTTGACGACCGCCAGAATAATGAAAGCAAAGCAAGCTATGAAAGGCCAGATCTTGATTCAGGAGGTTATAGCACAACTTTCCAAGCGTTTTGTACCTCAGGTCGCAGACATTAAAAAGGTCGGTCAATCAAGTCGTCGTATATTGCCTAGCCGACATACCGATATCTCTAGGCAATCGATATCCTCCTAGAAAAGGAATACATTGAGCGAATGGAAGAATCGAGTGACACCTTCGTATACATCACCTAATGGACATTGATGCGTAGAGACACGCAATGGACAAGCCTCTCAAATATATTATTCTGAGTTTCCGGACACGCTGTAGCTCCCCACACTTCCACTCATATCCGTAAAGTCCATGTCTTCGCTGCTGTAGTCATACTCCATTTCCCCATCATCTACGCCGCTTTCGTATTCTGGTCCCTCCGCTTTCGCTTCGGCTTTATCAGCATAAATCACGCTGTCATTGCAGCGCAGGCACTCCCACTGGGTACCCACTGCACCGCCACCGGATCGGTCTTCCACCGTTCGCATCATACGCTCCGACAAGCAGTAGTAGCAGTAGGCGTGTCCACAGGAAGTTATATATGGGTTATGGATTGGAAATGTCGGGGGCTCGTACCCAACATCTGGAGTGCTGGTAGTAGAGCTGGATTTAGAAGCAGGTGGGACGCTGTCATATGTAGGCATAGCTGTGATCGAATTCAATGCATTCGCAGGATCCGAAAAATTCAGATTAGGAGATGCATTTTCGGCGCAGATGGCACATTGATCTTGGGGAAGTGCCCAATATCTCCCTTTGCGTATTTGTATCTTGTCGTTGCCCACGTCGGGCGTCGGAAGACCGGCTATTGAACGGAAACACTTTGGTAGCAGGTGTGCAGGCCGTAAACGGGAGAAGACATTTGTGAGGCGCCGTCGAAGTGCACGAGTGTTTATCAGTGGGAGGAGGAAGAGTAAAAATTCCTGCGAAGATTGTTGAGCACCCTCGTATAAACGACCGTCGCATATCGCTCACGGTAAATGCATGCCAGACCATCTGGCGATTCATGAATTCGTATGACACATCGCGCCTAGCCATTCGGCGGGCTGAAACAAGCCTCAGGCCAAGGAGTCTGTCGATCACGGTACGATAACTATGGAACACAAAGTGAGCATTTGTAAGAAGGACAGTGTGCAAAAAGCACGTTACCGGCCGTTCCACAGAAATACAACAAAATTTGATAGAGCCAACAACCCGTGCAGAGACTCGAGGCGGGAAAGCAGCTCCCATGCTTTTCGCCTGGTGTCGGACGAAGGTGCATCAGGCCAAGCATGGGACAATGCATGTGCACGAAGGCGTGTGTAAAAATATGGGACCAGCAAGGTGGCGGTACCATGGGCAAAGAGTGTACGATATGACAGCTCAGACACTACGAAAATATTAATACGCTCGAATCATATGCGTAAAACAGTGGGACACACCTGTGGTGCGAGTGTGTGCAAACCGCGGGCCAGCGTACTTCAAACCTTGGAGTTTCGCACCATAGCTAGCCCCAATATCCCATACAGAAAACTTGTACAAAATCAGCTGGATGAGCAGCACTAGCTCGGGCTCGAAGCGCGCCTTCCAGGCTGACTACAAGCACGTACCAGCATGATATCAGAGCCAGGATGATCGCGCAAGAAACGTTACAAACATTGAGCAAGCTTATTGCCTTGACGAGAGGCTCTTTGAGGAGCTGGACAAGTTCCTGGTCGAGGAGTTCAGCATCGAGCTGGCCGACGCGTGTGACTCGGGGAGTTGGTATCGTTGAAGATATGAGAGTTTCCTTGATGAGAGAGAGACGGGGTTGCGCATTATCCCAAGCCTGCTGCCAGGAGGTGAAAACGGGCGACGACATGGATCCTACTACCTTTGTCGACGCGACCGACGTCGAGTGGAAATACGCCTCACGTGCGCGCATCTCATCTTCGATCGCCCGAGTCAATTTCAAGCCGACTCGATCTGCGGCAACCAGTGCGTCTGAGCGCACTTTCTCTCTCCCATCGCGACCTCGCCGACCTTTGGTTTCGTCCTAGTCTTATATTTTGGCTGAATTGCACTCCAGAATTATCCTAGATGGCGGAAGCGATACAGCAGCTTGTTCTGGATACTCTCGATAAATCCGGGATCATTCAAGATACTCGGACGCTGACTTTGCCCGGATACACGGAGCCTGCTGCTAGTCATGATGCCCAGATCATCATTCTTGGTGCCCTCAACTCGCTCTCCAGTCGTGAGGTGCGTTGTTTAACAACTGGCAGCACCTCTCGAAGGTCAATTTGAATGATGACCGCAGATGATCACATACACGACTCAAGAAACATTATCCCATGTGCTTACTTCAGAGGGCTCGCAAATAGCACTGCAGGGATCACATGAGGCTCGCGTGTGGGCTGCACTTCCTGTCAAAGGTGAAGGCGCGCCATTGACCCCAAAGCAACTCGAAGAGAGGGTGGGCTCCGAGGCCGCCAAGGTCGGTCAGGGCCGGGCTTTCAAAAACAAATGGATCGGGAAAGAAGGAGCTGGTCTTGTCAAGACAGTGAGTATTATGTTCTCGCGTACGGAATCATCTGTAACACGACCCACCTTACAAGGCAACATCAATAGAAGACACGACTCAATTAGAAATGCGGGAAGTCGACTCTAGCGGCACCCTGAAGGCAGGAGAGAAAGAGCTCGCTGAATTGAGAAAACGAAAGCTGATCGTGCAGAGGTAAATCCTACTCGACCGATGATCTCTCCGCTGATCTTTACTGGGATTGCTCAGAAAAGGCCAGTGGTTCACTGTCCACAAAGGGTCTGCCTTCAGTACATCAATAGAGAAACCCGAGACGGATCTGACAACCGAGATGCTTACAACGTACGCTTCGCGTTGGTTTCAGTGTGCGTGTCAAGGTACGCGTTGGTTGATCGCATGTCTCTAGAGGCTCCTGGAAAACTGCGACATACAAAAAGTACAACTTTGAGGCAGAGGGTTTGCAATCCAATGGCGGTGCTTTGCATCCCTTGCTGAAAGTTCGCGAGGAGATCCGGAATATCTTCTTGGAAATGGGGTAAGCGTCTAGTCTGCTGCTATTGTACGCACCCTCGGCTGACTGTCCGATATTCAGTTTCGCAGAGATGCCAACGTCATGTTTCGTGGAGTCCGGCTTCTGGTGTTTCGACGCCCTTTTTGTCCCTCAGCAGCATCCAGCGCGCGAAGTACAGGACACCTTCTATCTTTCCGGTGTGTAGCAGATCCACCCCGTCTCCGGCGCGCATGTTCACACCATATCATCCCCGTTAGACCCCGCAACATCCCTCCCACCACCAGCCGCATACTACTCTCGCGTGTCCAAGGTGCACGAGCACGGAGGATACGGCTCGACGGGGTACCGCGCGCCCTGGTCTGACGCAGAGTCTCGCAAGCTCCTGCTGCGCACGCACACCACCGCTTCGTCCGCCGCGATGCTCTGGAAGCTCGCTGCCCGCTGCCGCGGGGAGGACGAAGACACGTCCGCGGACGAGCCTGCGGCGCACCCTGGCGGCGCGACGCACGGGGAGAGGAAGAGGGACGATGGCTTCCGGCCGGCGAAACTCTTCAGTATCGACCGCGTGTTCCGGAATGAGACCATGGACGCGACGCATCTGGCCGAGTTCCACCAGGTGGAGGGCGTTGTCGCAGACCGCGGCCTGACCCTCGCTGATCTGATAGGTCAGTGCGCTCGCGAGCGTCCCCTGCAGACCGAGCTTGACTGTCTTTCTTCAGGATTCATGCGAGTGTTCTTCAAAAAGATGGGCATCGAGAACCTGCGGTTCAAGCCCGCGTACAACCCCTACACAGAGGTATGCCCCGTTGCGCGCAGAGGGACATTGACTCACGGATGGTCGCTCTTGCGTGATAGCCGTCGCTGGAGATCTTCGCTTTCCATCCACAGCTGCGCAAGTGGGTAGAAGTGGGGAACAGCGGCATGTTCCGCCCCGAGATGCTTGAGCCGATGGGCTTCCCCAAAGACGTGCATGTGCATGGGTGGGGCATTTCGCTCGAGAGACCCACCATGATCCGGTATGCATCTCGCGGCATGGCGCACGCGCGGCTGCTCATCCAGGTTGCCTTACAGATACGGAATCAATAACATTCGCACGCTGGTGGGCCACAAGGTGGCTATAGAGGCAGTCGAGAAATCACCGGCAGTGAGATTCTGAAGACGTTACGAGTGTTGTCAGAAAAGTGCTGTAGTATAAATAACAAATGTATCTTAGAGGTCGGCATTCGTAGAGGAAAGAATGATCTGATGGGGCGGGATCGATCAACGCCGCAAGCAGGAGACAAAACAATACCAGTGTTAGAACGAGAAAATCGCTGCGTTCTTCCGCGAGCCAAACATGTAAACTATAGCCTGACTCATGAAGAGCCCAACGGTGATCCCGATGGCGACCGATATCATTGCGCTTCCAATATCAATCCCGTCCCCTTGTGCGGTGATGCCCCCTGCCTGCGACAGTCCAGACTTACGAGGCCACATTCAGTGTCAACAACACACTATAAACCTGCCGCAACCGCTCACCGGAA